CGTGTTGAGTTTCTTGTGCGGTTATTAAGCATTAGTTAAGCCAAGAAGACCCTTGTGCTCAGCATTGGGCCCTTATAGGCTAATGATGTCATGTGAACCTAAATCGAATCGAAACCTAAACGAATGGAGTTTCTTGCTCGTTCTTCTCCATTCGAATCTACAATTTGGAATGAGCACCTAGCTTCACCGACGAACAGACTGACAGACTACTTCTCTATTTTGACGTTTCAAAAGTCCTCTTTATGGTTTAGTTGGAATAAATGATTTTGACTTTGACTTTGAATCCTTATAGCAAGTTATCATTATCATTCGTTAACGCCATTGTCACGTTACCGCGTTTAGGCCTATGATTGGTTGAACAACTTAAAGCTGACCTTTCAAAGCACGCACTTCTTGAACTTGTCAATCGTGGTTACACAAAGCAAAGCCCCAATGGGCACTCTGATCGGACATTCATCAATTATTCAGTTCAGTCAGTAACCTATCTAAAAGTGCCCACTGCTGAGCAAAGGCCTCTTTACACACGGTGAAGGAAAGTTTGAAGCATTAATCACCACGCTTCCTCTTGGCGGATTGGCCATATTACACTTAGGTACGTATAATTATAAGTCTAGGTTTCTTCCAGCCGGGGCTGCGGGGTAAGCGCAATGAGGTACCGCGACTTCGGCACAGAGCAGGAGAAGGTACAGGGGGGTTTTTAGTCAGTAAGAGTCTGACACTCCCTCCTGCCCGGCCCTGGGCGGGAGAAGTCATTTGATGATTTCCCCTCACAAAAAAAAAAAAACGTTTCTTTACGACTTTTTCCTATACCGATTATCAGTGATGTCTAAAGTAAACATAATTTCGGAAAATTCACATTGGTACTTGACAGGTTTCGCTTCCTACAGTGCCGGCGTAAGGGCCATTGATACCCCGGGCGAAAATATTGTGGCGCCCACTTGTGGAACAAATCACAATCAATCAAACAATATCAAGTGTTAATTTTTTGCTGATCCCAAGTAAAAATAAAAAATATGCATATGCACAGAGCGTAGAGCACAGTCCTGAGGGTTTGCACCAGAGGAGAGAGACTACAACTTCAGACTTTGGCTGACTGACTTCAGAATTTGTCGCCCTGGGCCATCGCCCCATCACGCTAACGCCGGAACTGCTACCTCATCCATGTGAAGCGGGCCACCACAATATTACAGGAAGAGCTGTCGTCCATAATAGTCCATTTCCCTGATCAGCCAAAAAATTATTGATTTGTGACGATGTTTTTTTTTAATTTTCTCAATAAACTCCCGATAATAGCAATAGATTCATACCTTAACAGATAGGATTCATAACATAGGTACCTACACGTTTACATGTGGTTAGTCGGCCAACGAGTTGACGCATTACCTGATGGTTAAGTAATCTTGGCCGACCATTAACATCTGCAACACCAGAGGAGGAGATAGGTACGAGGGCGTGGCCGGTCTTTTGGGAATTAGGGATAGGGAATTTGAGATAGGGGAAGGATTGAAGGAAGGGTCCCCAGTAAGCTCTGCCACGCGGCAAAAAACAACACTATGTTTTTACGTTGGTTTCATTCCGGTCAAGCTGGCCCATTCCAAAGAGTATGTAACCACTACGTTTAGCCCATTCCTGCCAAAGTATGACTCTCCCACACGAAAAATTTGGTGTGTATTTCATAATATATTTGGGCTTCTGCTACTCTCAAAGAATTTAAAAAGCCTCACATTATGATGATGATGATGATTATGTGATCCCATCAATTATCGCATGATAGATTGATGATGACAGCGTATGACAGCTAAAATAAAATAATAAAAGTGTTGATCTATACAAGTAGGTATTTCCCCGTGTTGTGGATTCGTTTAAAAACATACATAAAATTAACAAAACCAGGCCCGGAACAACAATTTGTGGATCACACAAAGTTTTGCTTCGTGCGGAAATAGAACAGGGTAATACTCAATACTCAATATCTTTATTGCTTTTCCATAAGTACATTTAAAGGTGGTAACAATTTGTGTGAGATCAATTATGGACCCTGTAGGGCACAGCAAAATAAGGCAAACAGGAGAGAGGGTCTGGGTGTGATGCATCCTGGTGTAAGGGTTTAGGTGGGTATGTGAAATTGTATCTTTGCAAACGCACCCACGACACAGGAGAAAATCCTAGTGGGGCAACGTTTTTTTCTAACCTAAAAAAATGCAATCTATTTAACATAGATAATAGCATATTTCCGCTTCGCTTGTTTGTACCTCGCTACTCGGCTATTAATGGACGTATTGTGATGTTTTGTAGAACCTAGATTCTCGATCCATGGTACCTATATAGCAAGTCTCGGTACAGGAAACCGCCAATCTTTTAGATTGAACTTAACTAGTTAGCTTATCATCATCGTGCCCGCTCTTTCGATTACATTACAATGGAAGCATAGATATCTTTCGATTCGCGGTCAAAAAATCTTTGTGACGAGTATTATAGCTCACACAATAATAATTACAGTCTCAGTAAACCCACTGTCACATTGTCAAGAACTAGAAAAATTTCCTTCAAAGAACCAAAAAAATGCTTTACATAAAAAATCTCTCCAATCTTAAATTAAATGTGGAAGAGCCATGCTTCGGCACGAATGGGTCGGCTCGACCGGAGTGATACCACGGCCTCACAGAAAACCGGCGTGAAAGAACCACAGCGTTGTGTTTCGCCGTGTGAGTGAGGTTACCGGAGGCCAATCCTTCCCCTCCCCAACCCCTAATCTCCAAAACCCTTATCCCTAAGAGATCGGCAACGCACTCGTAACTCCTCCGATGCGGGTGTCCATGGGCGACGCTGATTGCTTACCATCAGGTAATCCGTCGTAATCAATTTTTTTTATGGTATAAATCGGCAAACGAGCAGACGGATTACCTGATGGTAAGCAATCGGCGCCGCCCATGGACACCCGCAACACCAAAGGAGTTACGAGTGCGTTGCCGGCCTTTTGGGGATGGGGGTTGCGGATATAAGGATTGGGAAGGGATAGGGAAAGGGGAGGGATTGGGCATCCGGTAACCTCACTCACAATAAAAAAAAATCTTAAACTGTCTTTGCACGACGCAGAATTAGAAGAAGGCAGAAATCCTTTAGTACTGAAAATACCTTCAGAGTTAAACAAACCTAGTCATAGGTAACATATCCATAAAATCTAAATCTAAGACATAAATTCACAATAAGTGGGTAAAGTAAGTTATGTCTATGAATTTTCTTTATTTTTAGTCGGCAAACAAACAGACGGATTACCTGATGGTAAGCAATCAGCGCCACCCATGGACACCCGCAACGGAGGAGTTACGAGTGCGTTGCCGACCTTTTAGTGGGGAAGGGTCGGGGGAGAGGAAGGATTGGGCCTCCGGTAAACACACTCACACGGCGAAACAAAACACTGTGGTTGTTTCACGCCAGTTTTCTGTGAGGCCGTGGTATCACTCCGGTGGAGCCGACCCATTCTTGCCGAAGCATGGCTCTCCCACAGATAAATTTATAATTTTGTTCAACCCATCCTTTGTTAAATCCTAAATAAAACATATCGGACGAACGGAATTTCCATTACAAAATGATAAATTTTATTAGGCAGCAGCAGGCAGACAGGACACACTTAAAATAAAATGTAAAAAAATACAATACAAGGTCATCAGATAAGTAAAATTGATTATTCACGACTAACCTACTGACAACGGCTTCGTTTTACATAAATTATGTCGAAATATCCAACCCAACTCGAAACATATTTTTTAGCCCAAATGTAGCTTTTTAAAGGTTACGTATCAGTTTCGGAGTTAAAAATCAAACAAGCGTAGGTAAGTATAAATATAGGCATAGCTATAAAACCTATAATGTCATGCCATGATTAAAATTCTTTCAAAATAAAACATTGACGATATTCAATTCAGTCTATATTTAGATGGATTGCGCAACACATGTGGTGTGAAATGCGCGCGTAAAGATCACGCGTCGCGTCGTTCGTAGATAAAGCTAAAGTCAGAACCATTGTTTTGACTTGATTACAGTCAGTGACACAAAAAAGTCAAATAAAATGACAAATTAATGTCATGGATGATGGCATTGACATGTGACATGGGCAATCAGTGTCATCATGAAGCAATAATGAGGAAGTTAAATTACATCATTAACGCCAATTGCGTTTAATACCTGAATCTGAAAAAATAGAAATCAATATTGTGACGATCAATGAACTAGAACTTACGTAACATCCGGTGGGGCGTTGGCAAGCGTCCTATTGTCGATGGTGACCTTATTTCTTGTAGAGGGCACTAAATATTATTTTATTGCAACAATCAGATATGTTTATATTTTTAGAGATTTATTATTATGAAATTGAATTGATAAAAATCCATTTTAATTTATTATTTTATTTTTCATCTTTCAACATAGCGTCTCATAGACAAATGGCGAGGAAGATTATTTCAGGTTGCTTATGGCTAATATTTGCAACGGGCAACATTGTGGTTTGAGAATCGATTCTCGATTCAATGTGTGATAAAAATAATTAAAATAAACTTTATAAGATGTCTCTTGAGATATTAGAACGCTTTGAATAGATTAGAAATCATTTCGCCAATTTTTATTTGACATATTTTAGTAAAAACGAATTATTTACATGAAGTCATTTATCATTATTTTATAATAAAGTATTTCATTATTCCCACTCAAACTTACAAACAATATAAATTTTGGGTAAAAACAACATTGTTATTATGATTTGTGAAAAGTTTCGTGACAATTTATTCCCAAATGGTCAATCAGTAAATCATTTGTCATTTAACTTTTACATAATGTACATTATTATATCCATTAGTTATGAATATCATTAAAGAAATAATGAAAATTTTGCTATTAAACATAATTAAGAATATCAAATTCAATTCGATTTAAAATTAAAAATCAATTAACAAATACATTTAGAATCGATTTAAGAAATCGAAGCCAATCAGTGTTGCCATTATGTTTTGCCGCCGAATTACATCACCATATCATGGCACGCGTTTGACGCATTTGTTAAAATTTTCGACTTTTCGTGACAGCACGTCAATTTCGACATTTGATTGATAATTTTCTAAAGATCCATCAAATTAGTTTGTTTGAAAGTTGGTTTGGGCGCTAAATGTTATTATTTCGTTGTTTTAACTTTAATTCTATGATGTGAGTGCGTGGTATCCATTTTTGGTTGCGTGTGTCTTTACTCCATAATGAGCGCCCTAAAGTGTGTAGTTGAAGGATGCAATTTAGAATATGATGTAGTCTGCAGCTTCTCGTTCTACAAGTAAGTTTATATATATAATTATTCGCTTAAAATTAACTTTTCTGTATGCCTATTGTATTACCAAGGTTGTGTCTATGGTCGATAGGAATGACCTCGAAAATATCACAAGCAGAAATTTTATTGTAAACACAATAAGCTTTATATGTATTTGAGTTAGTATTTTTCCACTATACAGTCTTGTTTTGGCGGTAAAATCACTTTAACTTATATATCCAATATAGATCCCAATCTACAAGTGTAAAAGTTGTTCAAAATTGTGATTTTAGCACATTATAGCTATGAAAAATTTCAACTGTATTCATGTGCATAATTTTTCATTGGTGGGGTTAAATCATGCAAGAAATCGTGTTCAATATGCTGTAGTGTTCACTCCTGCATTTTTAAATGTGGTGATTATATTCAGATATTTTGAAAATACTAATTTGTTATAAAAAATGTGTGATTAAGTTCAAGTAATATAGTTTAAAGGCTTTCTCTTTTGTTAATTAATTACTAGTGACTAAACAAAACTTATTAACTAGTATTCTTATCAGTTTTGAAACATTAATAACATTTTCCTCATAAATTTTACATAATACATATATGCTAAATCCTATATACATATATTTACACCATTCATTAGGTTTAGTATGCCAAAAAAAATGTTATACATAGAGAAACAAACAGTTTCTTGACCAAAAATTAGAACTCAAAAAATCTTATTTGAAAATTTTCAATAGGTTATTTCACATAACCTATTTTTGAAAGAGTGTTCATTCTAAAAATAGTCATAGTAGGTACTTGTTTTTTATTTTCTTTTTAATACCACAAAACTATCAGTAATAATTAAGCTTCTAAATGAATTTATATTTATACTAATTAATAAGCTTTTAAGTACTAAACAGACAGAAGCATAATTATAAAAAATATAGAAAAATCACATTTATAGTTGAAAATATTGCATGACCTAAAATTATCAACCAAATTTATTTTTACATTGAATATCACCATTTCTTCAGTGAGCCACAGATGTATAAAATACCACTACAATCTGTACAAGCTCAGAAAACTGCTTATAATTACTTAATTACCAAGAACTAACGAACTAGGAACTAATGGTAAGTTCTACAGAGAATTACTAACTATCTTTGTCATTGGTTTTCTAGTAGGCCTTTTAGCTCCCCTTTTACTGAAAAACAGAACTCATATCACTACCAATGATGAGTGGATTTTAAATTGAATTGTGTTTTACATAATTTACTCAAATGGCTCAAAAGAGATATCAGATCACCATAGCAGAAAGTTCAATAACTGAGTAACTGTATATCCCATGTCCAAAGCTGTAGCATTTGTTTTTATATGCCATGACCCTGGCTTCTACCTAGAGCAGGGGAAGGAACTGGGTGGTGTGTTTAGTCAGTAACAGTCTGACAAATCTCTACACACCCAGGGCATGAGAAGTGATATTTTTTTGTTTGTAAATAGGCCATAAAACAGCACTTTTACACGTCAAATTTATATGTAAAAAAACTAGATGAAGCCCCCATTTCCTATCTGACTTGCTATCGCTGAGAAGAAATGCTGAAAAAAACACAGTGGTCTGTCTCTTTTCAACTCCAGACAATGTAAAAATTATTTAATGTGTGAGAACTGTGCAAGTTCATTCCATAGTGGTCTTTTGGGGAAAGAAACACACCATTTTTAATGGGCCCATTCTAAAAAAACTTTATTTTTCCCCCTCAAAATTAAAAAGTCTCAGTTACGTTAGTAAATGATATAATTTACAATGGCCTTGGCCTGGATATGGTGCTTTTAAGGCAGCAAGACAATGACACTCTCTCTCTTATCCTACTCAATGATTTCCTTCCAAAACAAACACCCAGCCTGAACTGATTAGTAGTCAATAAAGTGTGACCACCATGTCTGATTCTGCATTTTGATGTTAAAAGAGAAATAATTTGAAAGTAGTATTTAGTTATAAAACAGGTGCTTATTGATAATGTTATTTATCTTCATTTGAATATATTATGTAGTTAGCATGTACAATATAGTCATATGAACAAAGCTCAGATTATTATTATGTTTATTCTACATCAGAGGTGTAATTGTTTTGTGTTTATTAATTTTATATGTTGTCCTTAGTTGGGTTTCTGGGATAAGCAGTGTTTGGTTAATTTATTATTAACTTTAATTCACTGAACACTACATTCCTAATGATCATAGCATTAAGTTTTATTAAACTTAACGCTTTGGTTGTTTCACGCCGGTTTTCTAAAAGCCGACCCATTCGTACCGAAGCTTGGTTCTCCCACACTTATTGTTTTTAGGGCTGATTTTTCAATGGTTAGATAAGTTTTATTTTTCTTAAATGGCAACCGAGTCTTCAATTTAATGTTGTCGACTATACTGCCAAAGATAAAAGTTCTCGGAGTATAATTATGATGCTGTCGCGTCAGAATGTTTGTATAAGACAGTGACAGCAACAATTTTATTCCTCAGATAACATTTATGTACCTGATTATTGAAAAATCAGCTCCTAGTCTGCAAAAGATCCTCCAGCCTCTCCTAGGGCGGAAGAACAATTAAGTTCGATAATTTACCCTCTAAAAATAAGTGGTTTATTATTGTTACAGTGCCAATATATCGACGGACAATGAAAACAAACGGCAGGACTGGATCGAGGGTGCTATGCATGAAGAGAGCGAGTGTCTCTGGCGGCATGTTAGCTTGCAGCTATGCGGGTAAGATCAGATTTAAAATATTTTATACTAGCTACTCTCGCGCTTCGCACCCGCTGCTCAGCTCCATTTGATCGTAGCGTGATGTTTTATAGCCTATAGCACTCAGGAAAGGAACATTGTAGCTATCTATCAGTGAAAAAATTTTGGCAATCCGACCAGCGGTTCCAATGATTACGCCCTAAATACAGACTTACAAATTTTACCTCTTTATAATATTAGTATAGATTTTATTTTTTTGATTGACGGTCAACATAATTCTATTTTGGTTAAATCCTCGGCCCATGACCTCCGTAATGTGCCGCCCAGTTATTAAATAATTAATAACTCCTGTGTCATGGTTCGTCTAGAGTACCTACTTTTTTTTTTAAAGAAAAACCTACTCTTATTTTTTTTCCTGAGTCGTGGGTGCTTTTTCAAACATACAAATTCACTTATACAAGGTACCCAGACCCGAAACACTAATTAGTGGATCACACAAAGTGCTATCAACATAATTTGCATTTCAAATAACTTGCCTTTCTGTGCTTACTATAAGATTTATCAGACACTTCCTCATATTCCTAACAACCTCTAAAAGATCGGCAGCGCACTTGTAATTCCATTGGTATTGTGATTGCTTACCATCAGGTAATCCATCCGCTCGGTTGCTGACCTGTACCACGACGATACTTATTTTGCACTAACAATATTAGACTGCACGGTTAGTGCGGTGGCTGGGCAACTGGCTGCCGTGCAATGTGTCGCGGGTCGATTCCCGCATGGAACAACTTTTTTGAGTGATCCACAAATTGTTTTTCCGGGTCTGGGTGTAATGTGTATGTGAAATTGTATGTTTGTAACCGCACCCACGACACAAGAAAATCCTAATGTGGGGCAGCGTTTCGTTCGTAATCGTAATAACTACTAGCCAATATTGATTTTACACCTTATTTCTTAACAAATAGGTATCATTTCGAGTTGGATAACCAGGGCCTCTGGATCGACTCGCCCATGCTACCAGAGCTGCTCACTCACCAAGAGAAAGCTGCTCCCGTGATACAATCGCCAAATGATAAAAAATGTAAGTATTTTATAATTATGTACATTATTTTTCGTTAATTTTTATGTAATATTGGTCGATTTTGATTTTTCGTGCTTGAATTACGTTTTGCAAACGAAATATGCACGAAATTTCGTCTCTCTTTTTCGTACCGTCTCAACATACGAAAATTACGAAATTTTTGTTGACTGATTTCTTTAAGTGCAATAAAATAAATAAGTCTGTTTTTATTATAACTTTCGTGAGACATTCTAAATTAATTATTATGTTTTCGGCTTACTCACTCACGAGATATTCGACTAGTTTCAAGCCATGCTAGAGGCCCATATTCATGAGCAGCATTCCGCGACACGCGACTCGGCGACTGTCGCGCAGTCGCGCTGCTCATGAGTAGAGACTAGAGTAGCAGCGCAACAGTCGTAGCCGAGTAGCATGGCTTGAAACTAGTCGAGTATCTCGTCAAATTATTACGTGAGTAGGCCGAAAACATAATAATTAATCAGTCTGTTGTCACAGATTTTTCGTTCGGTAACGAAATTTCGTATAGGCTAGTAGAGGCAATAAAATTGTTGCTGTCACTGTCTTATACAAACATGTTGACGCGACAGCATCATGATAATTATTGCCCAGGTAACTTTTATCTAACCATTGAAAAATCAGCCCTTAGTTTATGTTTTTCTTAGCGTTTTTTTATGTTTTTCTTTTTGTTTTAAATTGCATTAGTACCCTTATACGTATAACATTACGCTTCAACCTTTAGCAGCAGAGCACGCTAGCGCAATCATAAAACAACCAGAGTTTGTTTTTGAAACTTATTGATTCCTATACAAAATTTCATCAATATTGGTTTATCGGTTTAGGATATAGAGTGACATATAAAGGATCAAAAATTTTAACCGACTTCAAAACAGTAGGAGGTTTTCAATATTACTTGTATGTATGTTTGTTCCTGATTATCTCGCGGTCGGTTAAACCGATTTTGATGCGGTTTTCAGATTAATATTTGCTACACTTTGGAAAAAGATTTAATAAATAATTGCGTTAATAAAATAATGGAGGTTCTCCTTTTACCCGCAACTTTAGATCTGCGATTATTTAGGTATTTCTTAGTTCAAATATTTTTGTAAGTAAATCTAATTAATTAATATTATTTTAGTAAAAAGTTGCTACAGGCAATGAAAGCATTTTATTAAAAAAAAAATTTCGTTGGCAGGCTCTCTCTAGAAATTTTTTCCTGTATCATGAGTGCGTTTACAAACATACAATTTTGCACACACACCACACCCAGAACTAACAACAATTTCTTTTTGGATCGCAAATCGAATGTTGTGACTCCTTTATTTATTTTATTTTGATAGAATTTTAAAAAAGCTTCCCTACATAACGTAAGCTGTTCACGTTAAAACTGCTCAACGAAATGAAATGAAACTTTGCACAAAGATAAGTCTGGTATAACATGTAAGCTACTTTCTACCCTGTCACTGCGGACCAAGCGCGGATCTTCAAAAAAGGACTTCAAAAAAGGTTGTGGTCACAGCTACTAGAAAATCGGCTAAGTACGGACATGCTCATTAACAATCATGCAAATCGTTTATGAACTTATGAATTAGATTCCCTTTTTTCTGAGCATCAGGACTTTGGCCTTAGGAATGTAAATAAACTTAGCAAGAAGTCGGACACGATTTCTTCTAATTTCTAATAGTCAGTTTCGATCCAAACCTATTTCAATCACAAGTGTAATAAGGTTGTGGGCATGCCCATCGTGCCCACAACGGAAACTAGTACTTATTTTTAAAAGCAGGTGATAATTTAGCTATCATTTAGTTATCTTTACAAAATTGCTCGACGATTTTCTGCCACCGTTATGTGAGGGTCTGCGTACGGCCAGGGTAGCTCGTCGTCCGACCAGATCCGACTCAAAGAGCCAACAGTCCACCATAGATTTTCGACTGGACGGTTGGTGCGGTGGCTGGGCAACTGGCTGACGTGCAACGTGTCGCGGGTTCGATTCCGGCACAGAACAACAGTTTGTGTGACCCACAAATTGTTGTTCCGGGTCTGGGTGTCATGTGCATGTGAAATTGTATGTTTTTAACCTTGCACCCACGACATAGGAAATCCTAGTGTAGGGCAACGTTATTTTATAATTATTAAAAAAAAAAATTGATGGGGCTCAATAGGCCTGATGTTAAGCTAGGGTGGCGTGTAATAATGTACCATGGCCTATATCTGGAGCAGGAGGTGGTTTTTAGTCAGTAAAAATCTGACACTCATTCTCGCCCCCCCAAACAGGGCGTCAGAAGATATGAGATGATATTACCCCTCCAAAATGAATATCCAATGACGTGTTCCTTACTGGGTTTATTACTGGTCTTAATGCTGTAGTTAAAAGCTTGAATAGATAAAAATATATGAATAAAATTAAAAAGTAGGTGTGGGCGAACCAAGGCTCGATCGGCGTGATACCACGGCCTCACGGAAAACCGACGTGAAACAACTACAGCGTTGTCTTTCGCCGTGTGAGTGAGGACCGGAGGCCCAAACCCTGCTCCCATCCCTTTCCAATCCTTAAATATCCTAAACCTTTATACCTAAAAGGCCGGCAAAACGAAAACAACTCCTTTGATGTTGCGGGTGTCCATGGGCGGCGATGATTGCTTACCATCAGGTAATGCGTGTGCTCGTTTGCCGGACTACTATACCATTAAAAATAAACATACATATAAATTCAGTAGAATATTATTGTCGTGGTGGCCCGGAGGTTAAGGAGCCCGCTTCTCATGCATGAGGATGTGGGTTCCAAACCTGGCAAGTACCAATGTGACTTTTTCCGAGTTATATGTACTTTCTATGATTATTTAGACACCACTGACATACGGTGAAGGTAAACATCGTGAGGAAACCTGGACTAATTATACGTTTGAAATCGCCAACCAGCATTGAGCAAGCGTGGTGATTAATACTCTTACCTTCTCCGTAAGAGAAGAGGCCTTTGCTCAGCAGTGGTCACTTATAGGCTGATGATGATGATGACGATTATTTAGGAGTCTGTAATTAGTCAGAATCAGTTAAAAAACTATAGATTTTCTATTTCTGCCCTATTGCAGACGCTGCCAAGGGTCCAAGTTATCAAAATCATTTTGAAATGTTCGTTGGGGAACACCGCAGAGGTATTAGTCTATTTATACGTTACTAGCTAATCTCGCGCGGTTTCACCCGCTGCTCGGCTCCATTTAATCGTAGCGTGATGTTTTATAGCCTATAGCACTCAGGAACATTGTAGCTATCTATCAGTGAAAGAATTTTGGCAATCCGACCAGCGGTTCCAAAGATTACCCCCAACATACAAACTTACAAATTTTACCTCTTTATAATATTAGTATAGATAGACTTGAAAAGGAGATTTTCAGTCAAAAAAAGAATTATTGAAATAGGGCGATTTGTTTTTACCGTTAAGTGTGGGAGAGCCATGCTTCGGCACGAATGGGTCGGCTCGACCGGAGTGATACCACGGCCTCACAGAAAACCGGCGTGAAACAATCACAGCGTTGTGCTGAGATTCCGAAGGCCCAATCCTTGCCCTCCCCCAATCCCTAAATCTGCAAAACCTAATCCCCAAAAGGTGAGCAACGCACTCGTAACTCCACTGTTGTGGGGGGGGGGGGGGTGTCCATGGACGGCGCTGATTGCTTAACATCAGGGAATCCGTCTGCTCGTTTGCCTACCTATCACATGAAAAAAATGTATAACAGTAATGCCAATAGACCACCACAGACGGGGCCCTATAGGGCTGATGTTCAGCCGGGGTTGCGGGGTAAGCGCAATGAGGCACCGCGACCTCGGCACAGAGCAGGAGAAGAAACAGGGGGGTTTTAGTCAGTAACGGCCTTATTACAAAACAAGGTTTTACTTTAGTCTAGGACTAAACCATTGAGCCAGTTTTCGTATTTCGAATTGAAGGTACATGACAATAAGATTCAAAATTCAAAACCCGACTCAATGGTTTAAACCTGGACTAAAGATAAACCTTTTTTGTAATAAGGGGGTAAGAGTCTGACACTCTCTCTCTCTCCTCTTACGTCACTCTGGGCGGGAGAAGTCATTTGAAGATTTTCCTCTCACAACATTAATAATAACTGTTAGGTTAGTCGGATTGTTACAAGATTGTTATCAGTGAACTTATAGCAATTAAATCTAGGCACCGAATGTAACACAATATCCTTGAAGATTAAGGGTAAGGCCAAGATAATCTCCTAAACAGTTAAACCGATATTGATGAAAAAAACTAATATTATAGGCAGACAAAATCGTGTAGTGTCGTGGTGGCCCAGAGGTTAAGGAGCCCGCTTCTCATGCATGAGGGTGTGGATTCGAAACCTGGCATGTACCAATGTGACTTTTTCCGAGTCATATGTACTTTCTATGATTATTTAGACACTACTGACATGCGGTGAAGGTAAACATCGTGAGGAAACCCGGACTTATAATTTCTAATTATAAGTTTGAATTCGCCAACCCGCATTGAGTAAGCGTGGTGATTGATGCTCTAACCTTCTCCGTATGAGAAGAGGCCTTTGCTCAGCTGTGGGCACTTATAGGCTGATGATGATGAAATCGTGAAAAACCTATTACTTAGTAACATCTTTATTTTTATTCTGAAATGGATTTTTGCACCAAATAAGAGCCCACTGCTGAGCCAATTAGGCCTTTGCCCAGGAGTGGACTCTCACACGTGGGTTCTCACAATTTGGAATGAACACCTAGCTTCACTGACGAACAGACTGACAGACTACTATTCTATTTTGACGTTTCAAAAGTACTTGTTTATGATTAAGTTGGAATAAATGATTTTGACTTTGGCAGACGGAGAGAAGGATTGAGCATTGATCACCATGCTTGCTCAAGGAGAATTGGTTATTAGCTGACTAGCTACTCTCGCGCGGTTTCACCCGCTGCTCGCCTCTATTTAATTGTAGCGTGATGTTTTATAGCCAAATCCGACTTCTAGGCAGTCTCCTTATTTTATAGCACTCAGGAACATTGTAGCTATCTATCAGTGAAAGAATTTTGGCAATCCGACCAGCGGTTCCAAAGATTACCCCCTACATACAAACTTACAAATTTTACCTCTTTATAATATTAGTATAGAGGTATAGATTAAAATTCTAGGTTTCCTCACAATGTTTTCATTAAGACAATTACTAAGTTTTAAGATAGTTGTGATACTAATATGTTTCTGTTTGTCCACAGTGGCAGAAATTATCCGGATGGAGCATAATTATAGCGTGGAGCCGGTCAAAGAAGATCCGGAAAGCGTATCCAGGTTGAATGTTCGACAATTGGTGGATACCTTGGGATATCTGTGAGTATTATATTTCATTTTCCCCTGAACCTTTCGAGTGCAAGATGCACGGAACAACTCTTTGTATGATCCACAAATTGTGGTTCCGGGTCTGGCTTTTTTTTTGTAATAATAGGTCGGCAAACGAGCAGACGAATTACCTGATGGTAAGCAATCAGCGCCGCCCATGGACACTCGCATCGGAGGAGTTACGAGTGCGTTGCCGAACTTTTAGGGATAAGGGTTTTGGTGATTTAGGGATTGGGAGGGATCGGGGAAAGGAAGGATTGGGCCTCCGGTAACCTCACTCACACGGCGAAACACAACGCTGTGTTTGTTTCACGCCTGTTTTCTGTGAGGCCGTGGTATCACTGGCTGGCGTAGTGTTGCCCCACTCGCTTAGTAGCTTTTATTCCTATCATTAGTTGATTTCCTAAATAGATAGACAATAATATGTCTCTTTTTTTATCTTTCCTTGTAATATATGACTCATTTTTTTCCTCGAAATCCAGGTCATTGAAGAACCTGCAACGCAAACAGCTGTGGGTCGTCAAGGTTGAGACGGACAAGGCTGAAGCTTCGATCACGCAATCCGAACAGGTCATCACCAAGATGCCGGACCCACGGCAGATAATTGAGGTAACTATAACACCTTAATGTCTAATAACTAGCACCGCCCTCGGCTTTGCCCGCGTGGTATGTTGATAAAAAGTATCCTATGTCCTATTCCGGAGTGTATCCTAAGCCTGTGCTAAATTTCACACAGATCCATGATGGTCAGAGCAACATTTGCCAGACGTCAATTCACCAAGCAGTCTTCTTTTATATATATAATAGACTGAACCAAGAATTAAATATTTATCCCAAATTATTATATGACTGTAAAATAACATTAACTGAATGGTTAGGAAACTTATCCTATGAGGAAACAGAGCTTATCCTGGCTCGCATTTGTTAGCGAAAGTCTCACAATCACCATCCGCACTCACACACACGCACACATACTCACTCTCTCTTTCACACACACACACACACAAACATACTCATTCACACATTCACTTATACATACATGCTCCATTCTGTATTTTATATGGTTACGATAATTGTCCAAACATTTTTATTTCTTTTTTCTTTAATAATTTAACTAAATTTGCCTTACATTTATGTTTAAATTTTCTGCCACAATATTGTTTACTTTGAAGCTAGGGGAAGGGCGAGGCAACCCCACCACAAGTATTGTATAACTTAACGGGGATGCCTCAAATTTGTGTTGCACGACTATGTACAAAGAGAAACAATAAACCATTTATTTATTATTTATTTATTTAGATCCGTCCAGCCGTTTTGGTGTGATTGAGTAACAAACATCCAAACATCTTAACGTTTGCATTTATAATATTAGTATGATGAGATATCATCATCAGCCTATAAGTGCCCACTGCTGAACAAAGGCGTCTTCTCACACGGAGAAGGTTTGACCATTAATCACCAAGCTTGCTCAATGTGGATTGGCGATGTAAACTTATGATTAGAAATTATATAAGTCCAGGTTTCCTCACAATGTCTCTTTCACTGTATGTTAGTGGTGTCTTAATAATCATAAAAAGTACATATAACTCGGATATTTTTTTGCTTGAAGTTCAAAAGTGCCTGTTGTGGTCTATTTTAACACGTTAAACGCCATGGGGGTCACCGGTGACCTCAGTTAGCGGAGGATTTGCCTTCAACAGTTTTCTGTCGGCAGTCACAGGCTTAAGTAATTGATTTGACTTTTGATTAAAGGCAAAATTTGTCCCACAATATACTAAAAAAAAAATATTTTTATTTCCAGATCATACCTCAAACGTCGACATCGACAGCAACAGAACCAGAGGCTCAGAATTCCGAAGTCCTACAAATAATGGATGATACAACAATCTCAGATAATTTCATTTACGAAATAGCGGAGGAACAGGAAATTACAATGGAGGAGGTCAAAGAGATACCAGCTTCATCATCCGAAAATCCCGAATGGACCGTCAACATCCTCCCTGATGACACGAAACCGAAATACGCCTACATAAAACACTGTGCTTCGGGCAAAAAAAAGAGACATTTTACAGCTGACATGAATGAAATAACCTTACAAGGTGACTTTGAGAATTATTACATCTTACCCGATGTGGATCCGTCGGTCGGTGTCGAAATAACAACTAGCTATGAACCAGAAAACTACATAGTGGAAGAATATCAACATTTGGTACTCGACGAGAGACCGAAAAAGCGTTCCAAAGACGATTCCGGAAGAAAAAAGAAGAAGAGACTGTCAAACCCTCCCGTCAAAGAGGAGCCCACAGACTGGGTTGTCGACAACAACATTGTCTATGAACAGGACGAAGATTTTGACGATCCGAAGAAAGTAGCGTCCCGTGTCAGAAGAAAAAATAAAAAGTACCTCGGGTATGATTTTGTTACTTAAATATATTGTTTTAGTCTTGGCATTTGACTTTGGAACGTTATTTGGAGTTCTGGCTGGTCAAACTTAATTTTTGGAGCTAAATTTTGATTTTTAAGGTTATATTATTGTCAAATTTCTCAGATACATGTTTTCGTAGCTATATTTATCCTATTTTGGTATAGTTTCTATCGTCAGACGTACTCAATTTCTAAAAAAAATAACGCCTTTCTCACGTGAATTGACAGAGATAAGCTCTACTAGTTTCAAATCACATCGGGACTTTTATTCACAAGCAACGTGCTCGTCGCGAAGCGCTTTTCTCAGTTTCTCAATTCATTGCAGTAAATCGTTATAAATATCATCATAAGCCGGAAGACGTCCACTGCTGGACAAAGGCCACCCCTGTTATAAATATCTTATTAGATTATTTCGTGGGCTTATGTTATCAATATGATTTTTTATCTCTAAGTTGAGTGCAATGAAGATATAGGAGGGATCGCTCTCTGCAAAGATGTGCCAATACGGTGATTTATATTAACAAAAATGTCTGTCCACCGACCTATATTTATGAATTCTACGCATATTGTTGTAGCCAACTACCTTTTTACCAATTGAATCGACATCCTGAATGCTAAACTAGTTGTTTAATTCCATACCTTTTTTGACAGGAGAAAGTCCTGGTGTTAGTATGAGAGAGTGTCAGACTCTTACTGACTAAAAACCCCCCTGTTCCTTCTCCTGCTCTGAGCTGGGCCGCGGTAATGCTGTCTGCATCCGTAACCCATAGACATCGGTCCTATTGGGCCCCATGTTTTTAATTGAATAGCTGAATTTCACATTCAGGGCTTTAGCTAAAGGGTGAAAAGACTCATGATTTATATCAATGAGACCCCAAGCACTTTTGATCGTCAAACAAAGCTTATAGATAAAAAGTATCAGTCTGTCGGTCAGTCCTCATAGTGAAGCTATTTGCTCGTTCCAAAGTGTAGATTCCAATGGAGAAGAACGAGCAAGAAACTCCATGGTTACAGTTGCTATCCAAAATGGTAGATTAGGTTTTGTTAGGACTGATTTAGTCAGATCAGAAGTAAATAGCTACCAATATTACACACTGTAATATCTTTTATTATATTTAAAACCAGGTTTTTATGACCTTGGGTTATATGGTCTCCTTAAATATTAACGGTGAGTTTATACTGGTTTTTTAAATAAAATTTGGACCCAAAAATAAGTTTGACTAGTCAAATATGTTATAGGAAATCATTTAAAAATGACTGTATATGATTTTAATTATGATTCTGTCATCGAAATTAGGTTTTGTATCATCATTAGTCGTCATTAACCTTTAAGTGTCCGCTGCTGAGCAAAGGCCTCTTCTCAGACGGAGAAGGTTTGAGTATTAATCATCACGAATGATCCAGGCAGATTGGCGATTTCAACGATAATAATCTATATAAAAATGTTAAAACAATTTTCCGGTAAAAATGATACTTTTCTAAATTTCTTATAATATTTCTTCGTATATGGAATTGCATTATTTTAAAATGGTGGAAAAGTACCTATGCATTTTTATTGACACTAATGGACTGTATGTAGTGAAAGTAGGAAAGATTTAAAATGGGAATTGATCTGTTTTCAATGTATTATCTGAAATTTTAAACCACATCTCAGTACTTATATCTAAGTTCTGATTAATATTATTAAAAGAAAAACATAATAAAAATCATGTTCAGTCCATACCATTCAATCATTCATATTATAATCTTTAAAAGCGAAAAATTTTTTTCCTAATAATTATTTGAACTTTAAAAGATCTCATTTTTGCTAAAAACAATACTTGACACGAAATAAAATGAGCTTATTAACTAGTTCTTGTATGTATACCCCCCTACCCCCACGCGCCATCTATTACATGTCACTTATAATGTAACTGGTGAAAATTGGGTATTTTTATGTGCCTCTCTACATCTCCCTTATAGATTGAAAGCGACTAAAGAGAAAAAATCACGAAATATTTTTCTTGTCCATGACTCTATGAAACCCCGATTGACTCCGAAATTGAACGGTCGAGCTCGAAAATGGTCTTAATCAAAAAATCTAAGTTGTTATCAAGAATTATGTTCAAATATATTAATTTTGTTGAATCCTAAAGCTCTTAATGTCACACAGCTTGCTGCACGCAGTAGTTACAGCTGCGTTTTCTGTCTGTCTTTCACACAGTCGTCGAAAACGGGAGAGTTTTTATATATAGAGACTTTATTTGATAAAGGATAGCTTAGCACTACATAGAAATTAAAAAAAGAAACCACTTTTCTCAAAAAAAATATGTTCTAAACATATTTACTTCATCTTCACTATAAACCTAGCTTTTTCCAGCGGCTTCCCCCGCAGTGCAATTTCGAAAATAGCCTAAATGTTATTCCAGACTATAATCTATCACTGTGCCAAATTTCATTCAGATCCGTTCAGTAGTTTTTACGCAAAAGGGTAACAAACATCCATCCGTACTTATAAACTTTCGCGTTTATTTTATTATTAGTATAATACAAAAAAAAAATGCAACACAGTATAAAACAAAGTCACTTACTTTGTCCCTATATCCCTATGTACGCTTAAATTGCTTGTTTGTCTGTTTGTATTGAATATGCTTCGAAACTACTGGACCGATTTGAACAATTCTTTCGCTATTGGGAAGCTACACTATCCAGGTTAACATAGGCTATGAACTACGCGAGTGAAGCCGAGGGCATAGCTAGTTTATAATAGTGAAATTAATATATTTAGAAATAAATTTTCTTCAGAAAAGTTGTTTGTTTTCTTTAGGACTGATTTTTCAATAGTCAGATAAATGTTATCTGAGGAATAAAATTGTTGCTGTCACTGTCTTATACAAACATTCTGACGCGACAACATCATAATTATTCCCCAGGTAACTTTTATCTGACTATTGAAAAATCAGCCCTTATAGTTATACTAAGCTGTCTTTTACTAATTAAATGATAATAATTGTTACATAAAATATTAGTTCGGAATGTACCATTTTTATATAGTTTACATAAATTGTATCGCTAGATTTTATAAAACATAGATTTATAGGTATTGAATCATCCTAAAATAATACATATTATATATAAAAAAACTTCTTTTAAAATAACACTAAGAAAAATGTTCCAAAAAGTTGGACAAGAACTTATAACTCGGTCGGTCATGGGTGGCGCTGATCGCTTACCATCAGGTAATCCACGATCGTTGGTTCATGAAAATAGTTTTGTTTCTAAAAGAAGTATTTTTAAAAGATTTCAAAGTCAAATGCCTCGATTTAGTATTAAGATTTTGTTTATATTTTATTCATATTATAACTACGTATAGTTACATAGATAGCTTTGTTTTTTTTTGGTTCGATATTTTTAATTGAATATTTGATATTTGAAAGTGATTTTTTTCAATTGAAATCTTCAAAATAGCGCTCGCTTGGGTTTACGCCTTATGAGTGCGGTTACCGGAGGCTCTCTCTAACAGGCCGGTGTCACATTTATTTTTTTGCCCGCTAGATGGCGTTAATGTAGACCTCTTAGTAATTTTGCCCAATAGGATTTTACCATTTTTTGATAGCTACACTGATTGGGCCAATTGATTTTTTAGATTAGCGCCATCTAGCGATCAAATAACGAAGTCGTCGTCCCATTTCGTGGGTGCTGCATGAGTCTATAGTTGGCTTTGATTGCTTACTATAAAGTAATCCGTCTTAAGTTTAGTAAAAATTATGACTGGTAGTAAGTTTCTTTTGGTATTTTCACAATCAAATATCAATTATTCAGTTAAATGCCTAACTATATAAATATATATTATGTATATTATATATATGTAATTTTTGTGATGGATTATAAGGAGTTGTAGAAGAAAAAAAAAACAAAAAAATCACATTTTATCATTTCATGTATATTTGTTTGAATTTATTGTTTGATTGGGTTAAAAAAATATTTTGATTGTAATTCCATGTCTGTTGTTTCTAGGAATTTAAGAATTTGATATTATATCCCAAATTGTGTGGCATTAGATACATAATGAAGTTTTTTTACTCTTCTTACCCCTTCAGGGAATAGAGTATCATGATTAGAACACTCGGCGTGTTTATGAAAATTTTCGAGCATGCTCGACCATTTTCAAGTTGAAACCGGAGTTCATAGCTGATAAAATTAACTTGCTCGAGAGTAAGGCTATTATAATTAGTTCTCGCGATAGTTACGATACACATTGCAACTTCTGTGGTGTTCCATATAAATAATATTTTATATAAAATTATAGTTTCAAAATATATTTTTAACCCAATTTTTTAGTTTTGATCATTAGATTAGTTGAAGATATCATGGATTATTCGTAACGTTGTAAGTACTATGAAGCAGTGTTTTAAATAAATACATTTCTTTTTAAAAACTGTTTTATTTTTTTACCAATTTTTTTACTGACCGGAGACCGTACATAGCTGTTAGTACCAGGCCTAAGTCCAAAGCATTCGTTTCCATCAGACTACAAAAGACACATTTGAACGTCAAACAAAATAATTATTTGTATAAGAGTGTCAGTCTGTCCTTCTGTCCTATTAGTGAAGCTATTTGCTCGATCCAAAGTGTAGATTCCGATGGAGAAGAACGAGCAAGAAACTCCATGGTTACTCTTATTAATCAGTTTTACAATTGAATTATTAAGTCGATTTCATTACGTAAGAATAGTGTAACAGATTTCGGAAAAGAAAATGTAATATATTCAAAAAGACGAGAGGTGATCTCCGGCCACCTAGAGCGCGGGTCTGCGGACGTCGAGTAAGGGTAGCTCGCCGCCCGACCAGAACCAGACCTGAGTGTACGGCGCGTAGCGTTCCGCGCGCGCTTCAACGAGCCAATAGACCACCACAGACGGGGCCCTATAGAGCTGATTTTCAGCCGTCGTTTTTGATTCTGGACTGCATATTCGTTTTGAGTGCCAATTTTAATTCAAGTCTATTCAGATAAAAGTAATTACAATATTTGTAGGATTTAATCCTATACAAGAATTTTCTTCCGTGTCGTGGGTTAACAACACACACATTTCGCATACACCATCCAGGATCCTTGTTGCGGGGTAAGCGCAATGAGGCACCGCGACCTCGGCCCAGAGCAAGAGAAGGAACAGGGGGGCTTTTGGTCAGTAAGAGTCTGACACTCCCTCTCGCCCGGCCATGGGCGGGAGAAGTCATTTGATGATTTTCCCCTCACAAAATAAAACCAGGATCCTTGAAAACAATATGTGAATAACTCAAGAGTTTTTGTTTATTATTTTTTAATGGGCAGACATTTGGCCACTATCACGCCTGATGGTAAACGAAAAAGCGACCTACGATGGAGCACGCCTACCCATAAGCAATCTATTCACTTGGGCTTTGAAGACACCCAGGTATACCCTTCGGGGAACATAGACTGCGGAAAAGAATTCCACTCCTTAGCGGTTCGGATTATAAAACTGGAGGCGAACCGCTTCGTGCTTGTGGGTGGGATATCCAAACTATTATTACCTATAAATGCGTACGTAACTCTGTGTGTCTTTTCTTCACGCCTAAACTACTGAACCTATTTGTGTGAAATTTGGTACAGATATAGTTTGGGACTCGAGAAAGGATAGTTTTTAAACCAAAAATCTGCCGGAAGTCACTATTCCACGCGAGCAAAGTCACGGGCAAAAGCTAGTCCACTATAAAGCGATGACGTTTTGCCGATTGTCTGGTGTTATGATGGTGGAAACGACTAGGGGAACCAAGTTATGAAGCTCTCCCAAACATTCTTCAATATACAACCGATAGCCTCGTATCTCTGCGCCTGTGTTCGAGATTTTCAAGTCAGGTCTCCACTAGCGCATCGTCGTTGATGAGCCTGATTTGTTTACTCTGTCCATGAGTTAAATCTGCGACACTTGTAAAGAACTGGTTGTTCAGCTGCTGGGCTAATAAAGTAGGCAAAATATTTATTAAATAATATTAATTACTTTCTAATTCTGGCTATCCGGGGTTGTGGATAAGCGCAATAAGGATCTGCGGCCCCGCTCGATGTAGGAGAAGGAACGAAGTGGCTTAAGAGTCTGATAAATGCCTCAAAGAGCCAATAGACCTCCACAAATGGGGCCCAATAGGGCTGATGCTCGGCTGAGGTTGCGGGGCTAACGCAAAAAGATTTCGCAGCCTCATTCTCGGTTTTAGCCAGGAAGATTCTGAAACTCCACTTGAGAGAAGAAATTATAATGAATTCTTTCACTCAAAAAGGAATGGTCTTACTTCACTAAAAATCCAAAAGGTTCTCGGACCTACGACTACCGCAAGTATAATGAAAATTTCGTAGGCCTATTTAGGCAGGCAAGGCCGATCTGCACTTGTCCACCTATTCCTACACTTGTGGAGATACAAATGGGTCGAAAATTATTGATGGAGGGTCTACCCTGTTGTTTACCCCACTATAATAACTAGGCTGCACGGTTGGCGCGGTGGCTTGGCAACTGACTGCCGCACGGAACAACTCTTTGCGTGATCCACAAATTGTTGTTCCGGGTCTGGGCGTGTGTGTTATTTGGAATTGTATGTTGGTGAAAAAACGCCACAACACAGGAGAGAATCTTAGGGTGGGGTAACGTTGAAAAAAAAAGAAAAGAAAGGTGTTTCTCCAGCACTTAAGGATAAGAACATAGTACTTATTACAATACCGCCGCCCGTCCCGCTTTTTGGGACGTCGATAGTGTAAAAAATCTTAGTCTCCCAAAGTGACAGTAACACATACCGGGTAAGTTCGGGTTACTTTGACCCTGCGGGGTAACTTTGATCCAAACCCTTTAACCAATAATAATTGAGAACCAAACATTTATTAGTTTTTCATTGGATCGAAAATTTGGATCAAAGTTACCTCCCAGGGTCAAAGTAACCCGAACTTACGGTATACATTATGCAATAAATTTATTGAGTATTGGGTATATTCGCAGGATCTCGGACACCATTCCAAAAATGAGATTTGCTGTAGTTTCGGGGATAAGAATCAAATACTTTCCACTATCGTACCAACAGACAGTGGGCAAAACGTCATCGCTTCAAGGTGGATATCTCACCCACACGCACGAAGCGGGTCGCCTCCAGTTTTTTAATCCGAGCCGCTAAGGAGTGGAATTCCTTGCCGGAGTTTGCGTTCCTCGCAGTGTATAACCTGGATGTCTTCAAGTCACGGGTGAATAAGTTGCTTATGGGTAGAGCCTCATCATAGGTCACATCATCGCTTTCCACCAGGCGTGAAATAAATAAATCTTAGGTCTCATTTTGAGAAAAAAAGTATGGATCAAATCTCGGTCATCCAGGAACTTAGCATTTACAGATACACGCAAGTTTAAAAATAAAACAACTTATCCTTAAAAATATCCGTTATTTATTTACATTATAAAATTATTACTTAAAAATAGTTTATCAAAACATTACATGAGCTGCTGTTTACATGTGAACATTAGCTCATGATGATACCTAAGTACGTGTGTCGCCTGGACAGTCACCGCTACCATCAGTTGACTGGACAATCTCTTTACATGAGCTGCTGTTTACATGTGAACATTAGCTCATGACGATTTCAAATAGGTACTAAAAATTAATAATCAGCCGCAGTGTTCGCCAAATAATCTCTTCTTCCGATGTTCGACGCTTGTTTGTTTTGTACCGCCTCCAATTTCGGACATTCTGTGAAAAAGAAAGCCATTTTAGACAATATAATTAGCTACAGGATTTCTTTCGGCATGATTTTTTTTTATGTGATGGGTCGGCAAACGAGCAGACGGATTACCTGATGGTAAGCAATCAGCGCCGCCCATGGACACCCGCAACGGAGGAGTTACGAGTGCGTTGCCGACCTTTTAGGGATTAGGGATTTGGAGATTTAGGGATTGGGGGAGGGGAAGAATTGGGCCCCCGGTAACCTCACTCACACGGCGAAACACAACGCTGTGGTTGTTTCACGCCGGTTTTCTGTGAGGCCGTGGTATCGCTCCGGTCGAGCCGACCCATTCGTGCCAAAGCATGGCTCTCCCACACTTAAATTGTTTGGGGCGTGAGAGAGTGTCTGACTGACTTTAACCCACCCTACACATCTTAGAGCCTTCCACGGCCTTGGATACAAACACTGGTTGAGTATAGTTCTACCAATTTTTTTAATGAGCGAAAATCATCGAATGACTTTTCTTGCCTAGGGTATGGCAAGAGAGAGTGTCAGACTCTTACTGACTAAAAACCCCCCTGTTCCTTCTCCTGTCCCAAGCCGAGGCCGGGATGCCTTATTGCGCTTGGACCGGCTAAATATCGGCCCTTTTTTTGTAATAGGCCGGCAAACGAGCGGACGAATTACCTGATGGTAAGCAATCAGCGCAAACAGAGGAGTTACGAGTGCGTTGCTGACCTTTTGGGGATAAGGGATTCGGAAATTTAGGGATTGGGCCTCTAGTAGCCTCACTTTCACGGCGAAATACAACGCTGTGGTTGTTTCACGCGGGTTTTCTGTGAGGCCGTGGTATTACTCCGGTCGAGGCGACCCATTCGTGCCGAAGCATGGCTCTCCCACATTTAAAAACTCACTACTTTCCATGAAGGGTCCCTTGGCCACCACATATGTTGTTGATGATGATGACCACAGATGTTTCCCCTTCACCGTATGTCAATATAATTTTAACCAGCTTTTGCCGGCGACTTTGTTCGCGTGGAATAGTGACTTCCTGCAGATTTTTGGTTTAAAAAACATCCTATGTCCTTTCTCGAGTTCCAAACTATGTCTGTACCAAATTTCACAGAAATCGGTTCAGTAGTTTAGGCGTGAAGAAAAGACAGACAGACAGTTACTTTCGCATTTATGATGGTGATTTCTGTAAAATAATGAGTGATATTTTTCTATGAAAACGTGTTTACCTGTAATCCTGTGTCCCAAACCACCACAATATGAACAGCCCTGTCCATCTGGCACCGGAACGTCTGGCTCGCCAATCATATCCAACAGGAACGAAGGGACCTGAATAAAAAAAACATTTTAAAGAAATTTCCATAATCACCACACTTGGCACACGGGCGATTGGTGTTTACGTCATCATTTTGAAGGTGTGTACTGGTAATTAAGAGATGATGGAGGTTTTCAATAATCCCCATAGTTGGTAAGAGACTTGGAGATCTTCAATAAAGTCTAAGATCGTAGTTTTTGCAATTATTACGTTAAATTTTATGATAAGCAGTAAGATTTCATCTACCAACCGTAATCGCCATACTTGGCAAAAACTTGAGAATATATTTTTTGGTTTCGATAAAACATTGCTTTCAGCAAGTATTTTCTCCTGTGTCGTAGGTGCGTTTACAAACATATAATTTCACATACACATCACACTCAGACCAGGAACAACAATTTGTAAATCATACAAAGAATCGTCCCGTACAGGATTACCTGATGGTAAGCAATCAGCGCCGCCCATGGACACTCGTAATGAGGAGTTACTACCAGTGCGTTGCCAGCTTGTAGATTACTAAGGATTTAAGGATAAGGGATCTGAGGATTGAGGATAGAAAGGGAAGAATTGGGCCTCCAGTATTCTCACTCACACGGCGAAACACAACATAAGTGTTTCTTCACGCCGGTTTTCTGTGTGGCCGTGGTATCACTCCGGTTGAGTCGACCCATTCGTGCTGAAGCATGGCTTTTCTACATTTGTTGTATAAGTGATACCAAGGTCTCACTTCGCCGTGTGAGTGACTTACCGAAGGCCAAATCTCTCCGTCCCCCAATACCTAAATCTCCAAACCCCTAATCCCCAAAATATCGGCAACGCACACTTAACTCTTCAGTTGTTTCGAGTGTCCATGGGCGGCGCTGATTGCCTACCATCAGGTAATCCGTCTGCTCGTTTGACGACCTATCACATAAAAAAAAATTAAATTAAAGTAGAGCCAATTATGTCTCTTACTTTTTGTTGAGCCTCTCTTAACAAATGCGCGAGATCTCTTAGCACGCTGTCGTCAGCCGCTCTTCCTAGTAAGGTTGTAGCTACGCCTTCACCCCCGGCTCTGCCTGTACGACCGATGCGATGGACGTAGTTCTCTATATCTTCGGGCATATCGTAGTTTATAACATGTTGGATGTTTGCGAAGTCAAGACCTGAATGAAGAAATTTGTTGTTTAATTTCAAAGTAATTTATTTCAATACTTTCAATACGAACCGCCCAAGGTTCACCCGGGTAAAATGCTGATACAAAATTACTCTACCATTTAATGGATGTTATTATACATATAAACATTCCTCTTAAATCACTATATCTATAAAAAATCACATCAGGTGAGTAGTTCTAAATTTAAGCAGACTTATAGGGATATAGGGACAGAGAAAGCGACTTTGTTTTATACTATGTAGTAAAGGGGTCATTATGGGTAACTATAATTGTCAAAAAATATGTAAGATAAAAAGTGTAGGTAAAGTTCCATAAGATGGGAGAAGGCATTACAGAAAACCAGTGTGGTTACCGGAAGCCCTAAGCTTCTTCCACTACCTCAATCTCTAAATCTCCGAAACCCTTATCCCCAAAACTGCGACTAACTCCTCTAGTGTTGCAGACATGCCCATGAGCAGCGCCGATTGCTTACCATCAGGTTATCCGGCATCATTGTATAGTATAAAGCAAAGTCGCTTAATCTGTCACTATATCCCTATGTAATTTTTCAGTAATTTTCTTTACCAGCCTTTAAGTGCTCACTGCTTAGCAAAGACCTCCTCTGACTCAGTGAAGGTTTGAGTATTAATCACTACGATTGGCTTTTTTAAACATATAATTACAAATTATAAGTTCAGGTTTCCTAAAGTTAATTTCTTGGAACCTGAATACCATATTTAATTTTGAGAATCAACCAAAAATCATAATCAGTCTATTACTGTTTTACTACTGGGACCATTTCACAAAAACATCTTCGGAGATTTAAAGGCATGGTGATTTATTATTTTCTATATTACCTTTACTAGCGACATCGGTGGCCACGAGTACATCTTTCTCTCCTCTCCTGAAGGCTTCCACAGCACGTGACCTTTCTTCCTGATCCTTTCCTCCGTGTATGGCTACAGCTTCCACTCCTGGGGAAATCGATAAATATAACCATTATATTTATTATCATGGAAAATATGATAAATCGAGTTCGTATTATGAAATAATTGCAATTTCCATTAATCACCACACTTGGCATAATTATCGGTGATTAACAAAATTTACCTTTAAGCAGTAGATACTCGTGGATAGCATCCACGTCTTGCTTTCTCTCAGCAAACACCAGCACTGGTGGTGGCGTTTTTTGAAGACATTGTAGTAAATGTACTGTTCTAGCTTCAGCCTTTACTGGTTCTAACTCTTGACGCACGTTCAGTGATGCTGCACCAGCTCGGCCTACATTCACTGTGACCGGTTTCACTAAGGCAGACCTGGGGATTAAAAATAGACGGTTTTTATATTGAGGGGAAAATCATCAAATGACTTCTCCCGCCCTATTGTCAGAATTTTACTGACTAATTCCCCGTTCCTTCTCCCGCTCAGCGTCCAGATGGTCCTGTCAGCCGCTTACTAACTAAAAATCCCGCCGTTCCTTCTTTTGCGTGAGGCCGAAGCCGCGACGCCTCATTGCGCTTATCCCGCAACCCCGAATTACTTATTTTGCCTAATATTTGAGGTTGTACGCTTGAAATGCGCTTTGAAGACTTAATTTTATTTTGAGGGGTGAAAATCCTTCTCTCTTGGCAAGAGAGCATCAGACTCTTACTAAATAAAAACCATCCCATGCCCTTCCAAATCTCCAAATCCTTAATCCCCAAAAGGTTGGCGATGCACCCGTAAATCCTCGGTTGCCCATGGGCGGCGCTTGATAGCTTATCATCAGGTAATCCGTCTGCTCGTTTGCCAAAGATGGCGTCTTAACCTCAGGGCCACTACGATGGAATACGACAAGCTTCGGCACGAACGGGTCGGCTCGACTGGAATGATACCAAGGCCTCATAGAAAACCGGCGTGAAATAACTACAGCGTTATGTTTCGCCGTATGAGTCAGGTTACCGGAGGCCCAATCCTTCCCCTTCCCAATCCCAAAATCCTCAAAGCTCCTCGGTTGTTGCGGATGTCCATGGGCGACGCTTGATAGCTTACCATCAGGTAATTCTGGCTCGTTTGTCTTAGATGGCGTCTAAACCTCAGGATAACTACGACGAAAAACGACACTTAGGCTTACCTGGCAAAATTCTGAATCTTCCGCGGCATGGTAGCGCTGAAGAGCAAGGTCTGACGCTGACCAGCGAAATAGGAGAATATTGTTCTGACGTCCTCTTCAAAGCCCATGTCTATCATTCTGTCGGCCTCGTCCATGCAGAGATAACGGCATACGTTTAAGCGTACCTGAAGAGAGAAGATTATTTTTCAATGGAGTATCATCAGCCTGATTTTGTCCACCGCTGGACGAAGGCTCCCCAGTCCGCTTTAATATCGTAAAACCTTGTTAGTAAAAAAATGTGGCTCGACCGGAGTGATACCTCGCAGAAAACCGGCGTGAAACAACCACAACGTTGTGTTTCGCCGTGTGAGTGAGGTTACCGGAGGCCCAATCCCTCCCCTTTCCCAAAATTTACAAATCCCTAATAAGTCGGCAATGCACTCGTAACTCCTCCGTTGCAGGTGTTCATGGGCGGTGCTGATTGCTTATCATCAGGTAATTCGTCTGCTCGTTTGCCGACCTATCATATAGAAAAAAACCTACTAGTATGATGTTATTATAAACCTTGCATTATGTAAATACCTAAAAGTTAACGATTGAAAATGCCGTGGCTTATCATAAACTTTTGTAAAAAAGTGATCGATAAATTTATTTTATTTATTTTTATTTTTTAATTGCAAGCCACTGAACTCGATGTTCAGCTCTTCTCATCCAACCACTGTCTTTTTATATTGAAGAGGCCATATAAAATAAAGATTATTTGCTCAATCACGCCAAAACGATGAGACAATATATACTGTAGATGAAAGGACATGGCCAACTTTTGTATGGGCGATTGCATAGTTATTGAATTCAATGTACATCAATGATTTTTGGTGTTTACATTCGTGAATATTATTAAATTAAATTGCAAAAAATAAAACACACGAAGAACTCGTAATTATAAAAAACAAGACGAAAATAGTTTCACTAAACCTTTAGTCAGATTACTGGCCATAAGTGCACGAAATAAGATTTTGCTTTCAAAAACCGTGGTGTTTTAATTATTTATTTATTTATTTATTTATAAAATAAAACAAAAGAATATGTATAAAGAATAATGATTTATTTATTAAGGAGAACAAATAAAATAAAACTACGTAATAATTCACTTTTATATTTTTATTATAAAGTGTATTTTATTATGTTTGTGCATGGAATGTACGTTTCTTTAATATATATTCTGTATAATTGGGTAATAATATGGTAGTACTTTCCATTTGAAGCGGCCTGCTTAAAACAGGTGGTAATGGTGGTGGCTCTGGTGGGCTAACCACTTGAATATAAGGGGCTACTGCATTGTTGTCCGAACCCAATTCCTGCAAGTTTCGTGATAAGTCCTGCACTGTCTGTCTATTTGCCCGCATACAGAACACATGACAAACATAGTTGCTTCTTGAGGTCTGAAAATAAACCCCAATTAGAATAAACATATGTTTTCAAGTTTTATGTTATTGTACAGTGAGAAGTATTATGTTACAACATGCCTATTTTAAAGAAGTCTATGCAAACATGGAAAATACATAAAGATAGACATCACAACACATACCTACTATGAGTATTTTTTTTATAGATTAATATAGATAAATACAAGTACATATATAAAACAATGAATAAAAAACAAAATGCTTACCACATTAATAGTATTTTGTAATATTAGGCCAGCTAGCAATGGAGAGTCCATACTGACATTATGGTGTCTTATTTTTCGAACCGATTTTCCACAACTAATGCAAGCCATGTTATGCCCCAGTAGTCTCTCATGTTCACCAGCCTCAGTATTCAATAATAAGAAGCGTGGTTGACAAATGAATGTCCCCAGAGGCAACTCAAAAAAAAGATGCACTAATTAAAAACACATACGATGATAAAACATAAAAAAACAGACTAAGTATTATATATTCCGACTTCATACCTGGGTTTGAGCTGGTTAACCAACGTGAAAGTTTTGTTTGATGGTGTGCAGAAAGCGAGGATATAAGACGCCTCTGCAGCCTTTGTACGCCTATTCCGCAGTTGATGCACCTCATCGTAATCCACAAAACAAATCCAAAACGCAAAACAGTTACTCCAGTAGTATTAGCAAGGTTAACAAAAACACGCTGTCAAAAGTGCCAAACACGTTCCGTTTCGTTTAAGTTTTTTTTTTGGTGAATTGGATAAAAATAAAACATAACATCATTATGAGTATATTTTAAAATGCAACTAAAACCAATGAATACAGTTTCGTCTGAATACAATGTTCCTAGTGTAATGCATTTGTCGACCATATCACACGTTTTCTACGAGTGTAGTTTAAGACACGTGGTTTGGAATTGGAACGTCTTTTTATTTATCTTTCTCTATGGACTATTATGGCGAAACTTGACAAACGAAGTTGATTTTGTTGGATTACTTTTACATTTTTTTAATAATAACTGTCAGGTCTGGAGAGGCTAAAAACTACGTAATAATTCATATTTCTATTTGTATTTTACAGTGTATTAATTTTGTTCGTGTACGTGGAATGTACTTTTTTGGCCATGTCCTTTGGCACACGCATAGGATACAATACCGTTATGTAATATGTTGATAAAAAGTAGCCTACGTCCTATCATAAGCTACTTTTTATCAACATACCATGCGGGCGAAGGCGCGGGCGGTAGCTAGTATTTAATAAATCTTACCATTTTCTTATCGAGCATGTCCATAAGTCGTCCGGGCGTCGCAACCATTATGTGGACACCGCGTTGTACGACTTCCATACATTCAGACACAGCGATGCCTGAAAATGACAGCTAAATTAAAATTCGCCGTGTGAGTGAGGTTACCGGAGGCCCAATCATTTCCCTCCCTAATCCCTAAATCTCCAAACCCCTAATCCCCAAAAGGTTGGCAACGCACTCGTAACTACTCTGTTGTTGTTGGTGTCCATGGGCATCGCTGATTGCTTACCATCAGGTAATCCGTATGCTCGTTTGCCGACCTATCACATAGAAAAAAACCTTACCTCCAATAGCCAAACAGCTACGTATTTCAGGGTTGCCACACAATTTGAGTTGCTTCACAAAATGTTGAATGATGTCGTGCGTTTGTTTCGCCAATTCTCGAGACGGACATATTATTAGACCGTATGGTCCTTCGTTTCTGTAAAACATAAAAAAAATGTGTTAAATAAAGTTGTCATTAGTTGAAACCCGTCTATTTGTGATCAAAAGTCCCCATTATATAAAAATTCAATAATCACCATACTTGGCAAACGACTTGGGGATTAATGTTGGACCTTGGTAAATTGCTAAAAATCCTTACTTGATGAACGGCATTTTGATCTCTTGTTCTAAACACATCATAATGATAGGCAGTGTGAACACCAAGGTTTTTCCAGATCCGGTGAAAGCTATGCCGATCATATCTCTACCACTGAGCACTGCTGGTATTCCTTGGACCTGAATCGGAGTTGGTTTCTTAATACCTTTAGCTTCTAAACCTCTTAGGATACCTGTGAAGAAAATTTATAATAAAATTGCTGAATTTCACATCATTAGCCTATAAGTGCCCACTACTGAGCAAAGGTCTTTTTTCACACGGAGAAGGTTTGAGCATTAATCACCACACTTGGTCGCGGCGGATTGGCGATTTCAAACTTATAAATAGGAATATGTTTCCTCACGATGTTTTCTTTCGAGGTAAAACAAGTAATAAATGTTTGTTTTTTTCTTTGCAATGGGCTACTCTCATACCTGGTGGTTACGGGGTAAGGCAATGAGGCACCGCGACCTCGGCTAAGAGTAGAAGAAGGAACAGGGGGTTTTTAGTCAGTAAGAGTCTGACACTCCCTCCCGCCCGGCCGGGAGTATTAATTTGATGATTTTCCCCTCACAAAAAAATCACCTGGTGGTTAGTGATAATACAGCCAAAGCTGCCTTGAAGACAATCTTCGGGGAACACAGAAACAGGCAAAGAATTCCTATCCTAAACAGTTCTCATGAGAAAACTGGTGAGGAATCGCTTCTATCATATGGGAGGGATATCCACTTTGCGAAACAGGAAGAACCTATGATCATTTCTATAATGTTTTTCGCATGTCCAACGAGCGGTTAGCAAAATGTATTACTGAGTGGAGCCCACACAACGTTAATAGACACCGAGGCAGGCCTAGAAGGAGATGGCGGGAGGAGCTTGATGTCTTTGACGAGGATTGGCAGCAGAAAGCTATGTGCAGATATCAGTGGAAGAAGGGTAGGGAGGCCTTTGCCCTGCAGTGGGAGGATAACGGCTGATAATAATAAAAAAATGTGATGGGCCTGAGCCGGCCTTAGGTCTTTGTCCTGGTGTAGCTCGCCACCCGACCAGAAGCGAGCGTACGCCGCGTAGCGTTTCCGCGCGCGCTTTAAATAGCTAATAGACCACTACAGACGGGGCCCTATAGGGCTGATGTTCAGCCGGGGTTGCGGGGTAAGCGCAATAAGTCACCGCGGCCTCGGCCCAGAGCAGGAGAAGAAACGGTTTTTAGTCAGTAAGAGTCTGACGCTCCCACTCGCTTTACCCTGGGCGGGAGAAGTCAATTGATGATTTTCCCCTGGCAATAAAAGAAAAAGGTCTTTGTCCTGGTGGTTAGCGAGACTACAACCTAAGATGGTTCACCAGCTTCAGATATCCAAGATTATACCCTTCGGGGAACAAAGATTACGTCAAAGAACATCCACCCCTTATGGGTTCTGATGAGCAAATCGGAGGCGAATCGCTTCGTGCATGTGGATGGGACTTCTAGCCTTTTCTGAACTTGGGAGGAACAGTAAAAATCTAGTCTTATAAATGTGAAAGTAACTTTGTCTGTCAGTCTGTCTTTTCTTCACGCCTAAACTACTGAACCGTTTGCTATGAAAATTGGTACAGACATAGTTTGGAACTCTAGAAAGGACATAGGATAGTTTTTAAACAAAAAATCTGCAGGATGTCACTTTTCCACGCGAACGGACTCGCGGGCAAAAGCTAGACTTTATAAGACCTTACCTTTAGGAAACTTCATATGTTGAAAGGTTCTGATCGGAGGCGGTACATCTTCACCCTCGACCAGGATTCGGAGCTGTCTTCGCACCCTTTCGTGTCTTTCTTCAGGTAGTTCGAGTATGCACCGTGGTGGACGCCATGACGTTTTTATCGGTTCCTCGTACTGAATACCTGGGGATGTCGAATGGTGTTATGAGTGGAGATGTTATAGATATGAAATTTCGGATTATTCGTCAGTTTCGGATAATTTCGGTTACAGATATTAAAACTTTAAGGTTTTTCAAAAGTAAAATATAGAAAGAAATAATTTTATTTGCACAACCTGGACAGAGATACAAAAGTAGATAAAAAAAACCAGTAAAAATTAATCAAAACAAAAATAATAAAAAAATAAAAAAAACAGTGATGCGTGTCTCAGCGTTGGACAAATAGGCCCAGTTCAGCTTCGATGCCAGGCGGTTATTGTCTGGCGCTGGTTTTCAACTGGACCTTCAAGTCAATATATTATAACACAATGATAATAGAAGCGTTTTACCTACCAATAAAACGCATATTAATTTACTTACCTTATTCGAAGCTTATTTAATTGAGATAGGCACTACGTTTCCCGCCTTCACATTTCTATATATACCCATCTCTTTCTAAAACCTCACTTCCGCTTGGCAGTGGTAGGGAGGCTCGTAAAGCGAGCCTCGCCATTTTGAATTCATTGAGTCCAATTACCAGGCAGAACTTGTTCATAAGCTTCGAATAAGGTAAGTAAATTAATATGCGTTTTATTGGTAGGTAAAACGCTTCTATTAATTTGACTTGACCGTTATTCGAAGCTTATTTAATTGAGACGTGTTTGTTATCGCCTGGTGGAAGTGATGAAGACGCCAATGTGATATATTAGGTATTAATATGTAGGTAATTTGAGATCAAATTGATATAGGCATGAATAAGTAAAACATAAGTATTAGACAGTTTATATTTGATGATCAAGACAAAAAATATAAATAATAAATCATATTGAGTTTACAACATCAATTATAATGATTATACAAAAGATAAAGTAATTACATTATTTCTAATCAACTGGATTAAATAATGCTGTTATTGACACACGGTTAGTAGCGGGTCTAACCTCGCGCTTATAAAATTTGCCAAATGTATTTTCGGATCGCCAATTTCCTCTAGCAAGAATTTCCTCGAGGGGGTAATTATCGACCCAATTTTTAGAGGCAACAGCTGACCTAATACTCCCCGGAGATGCCCGAATACCGGCTTCTGTTAACAGGGACTTGATCCAGCCTGCAATTAGGGTTTTCGATGCAGGTTTAGGTGCACCTCTAATGTTAATAAACAAATTACTACAATTTGCAGCATTTCTTCGATTTTCGAGAAGCGAGATCGAATGCTTAGCCCAATAGACCGGGTCTAGATTTTTATTACATTTATTTGAAATTAATCTCCAACCAGAGTGTCTGTAATCTACCGTACCAGTTTTCGATCCAAAAACCGGCCAAAAAATTACAACATCATCTTGATTAGAATAATTATTTGAGTCAACTCTGAGTAAAGTCAAATCATGTATTCTTCTACCGGAGCACAAGAGAAGAAGAGCAGCTGTATGTCTCTGCACTTGGAAAATATTATTTTCATCGATGCGTTTACTGTCCAGGAAATTAGCGAGGTCGTTTATGTTCCAAATAGGGGGCTTACCGTGAGGAACTGATTTCTGCAATGCTATAGACTTTAAGACATGTTTTACTAGGACGTTTGAACTTAACTGGCCGGAAGAGTCTGGGTTACAAAGGGTTGAAACCACAGATTTGTGTAACAAAATAGAATTGTATGATAATTTATTTATTAAATGGAGATCCGATAGAAATCTAGCTAAATCGCTTGCTGTTGGAGTTGAAGGGCTAATCTGATGCGTTTCGCACCAAACTAGCCATCTCCTCCAAGCAATACCATAAACTTTACGTGTAGAGGGACGCCACGACTTCTTAAGAAGCTCTAATTGATTATGATTCCAGGATCTTAACATCCCAGACCACCCCCACATTTCCAGACTTCCAGAGTCATTTTGTGGACGTTCGGCGGTGGTAGTCCTGTTGTCGTGTCGATCAAAACTTTCTCTAGGTGATATATTGTGAATGGGGCTGCTAGGGCACGCGATTTGATATCGGGTCGCCAAAACACTCGCTCCCCCGAGGTACTACCAGTAAGTACGTTCCCTGTGCTTGATTGAGGTAACCTAGGACTTTGGGAATCAGAAAAGGTGGAGGGAACAACCACGCTAGATTGTAATTCCACGTTCGGGAGAATGCATCGTAAAACAGGGCTTGGTCGTCTTTTTTGGTCTAGTGACACGTAATTCGACACTACATGAGCTCGCTTGGACGCGAAAAGATCGATCAGTGGAACTCCCCATTTGGAGAATATTTTGTTCGTGCATTCTACCGACAGATGCCACTCGGGAGTTATGCGAAACCTCGACAGATGATCTGCGTGGGCATTGTATATACCTGGTATGTGAAAGACTTTCATGTGCATTTGATATTGTTCTATGATTTGGAAAACCTTGCAGGTTAAGTCCAGGAGAGGAGCTGATTTGGTGCCGCCCTCGTGACGTAGATATGCAACTACCGACTTGTTGTCGCTCTGAATCAAAATCGTCTTGTGTTTCAGGAGCTGACAATGATCTTCCAAAACTCTTAGGATTGCTATCATTTCCTTTTGGTTGCAATGGAGATCTTTCTCGGCTTCTGACCACAGACCCGACAGTGAGAGATTGTCCAGGCGAGCTCCCCAAGCAATGTCCGATGCATCTGTTGTGAGGAAATGCATAGGAGGCGGCATGTGTATGGCTGACGCAATTTTGACGCCACCATATCAGGTTTTCTATAGCACCGCGATGTAAGTTGTGCAATATCCTGTGATTCGACTTCAAAATTACGTTCAATAAGCTCAGAAGCGCTCGAAAATTGAGTCTTCCTTTCGGAACAGTGAAGCTCGCAAAATTGAGTAGACCCACGAGGCTTTGGAGCTCCTTGAGTGTCGTGCGCTCCTTCCGCAGCAAATGATCGATTTTCGATACAAGAGCAGGAATTTTTTCGTCGGGAAGTCGTTTGCGATTCGCCCATGGATCCCAATAAATCCCTAGAAAGACTAAGTTCTTTGAAGGCGTGATGATCGACTTTTCGTAATTGATCAACCAGCCTAACGTCTCCAGGGTATTGAGCAAATTTTTTACATGACCCCGGAGCTTGATTTCGTCCTGGTGAGCTATCAAAAAATCGTCGAGAAAGACTATTATCCTCACACCTCGTTGCCTGAGTGTCTGGGCTATCCAATTGGTTAGCGTGGCAAAGGTCTTGGGCGCTGTGCTCAGACCAAAGGGTAAACAGGTCATTTCTAGCAATTCGTTGCGATAAACTAGACGTAGAAACCTTCTGTGGCTCCGGGCCACAGGTACATGAAAATAGGCCTGAGAGAGATCGATTTTGCATAGCCAGTCCTTTGGTTGCAAAAAATCCGGGATGCGATTCACATTTATCAGTTTGAATCGATCCGTTATGATGTAAGAATTGAGTGTCTTTAAATTGAATATTGGTCGACTCGAGCCGTCGCCTTTGGGGACAAGAAACATCGATGACAGGAAGCTTGGCGAAGCAACCGCCCGCTCCAGAATGCCCTGAACTAGCATTTTGTTTATGATACTTGTCATTTCGGCGGCTCTGGAACATTTAGGTTGGTTCTGACAAGGTTTGGGTAAACAAGCGGTGGTTTTTGGCAAAAGGGTATGCGATACCCGGATATTATTTTTAGAATGTACTTTGGTGCATTCATTTGTTCCCATTGGTCCGCAAAATGCAGGAGACGGCCTGCTCTGAACGAGTCAATACTTACGTCTTTTATTGTCGTTATTCCGCTGGGGAGATAACGCGCGTTTTCGCACATGCTTCGATTGATTATTTTGCCGAGCATTCGGACGGCCACGAAAGTTACTGCGATTATTCGGTGCGACCGAATTATATTGAGCAGCATGACCACGAGGGTTAGATTCACCTTGCGGAGGTGGATTACTGTGGCTGCAACCACCTTGCGCAGGTGGGTCACTTCCAACACATTGCGAATGTGTGGTAATATGTTGGCATGCCTGAGCATTGCGAGAAAATCCTTGCAAGGACTTATTGTAAGGCTTGGACCCCTGCGAGGGGCCACGAAACTTATTTGGATCCGCCTGCGAGGCAGAAGACGTGTTACCTTTTTGCAACGGCCAAAAACATTTTCTTACTCCGCCAGATTTTTCAATAGCAGCAGTGAACTTCTCTGCGTTGAACAAATTGGTACACGTTGGAGGAATTTTCTTTAAACTGGCCTTCATCAACGGGTCCTTTACCTGTTTAGTGACACAATCTCGTCGCATTTGAAGGATCTCAGCACGATGCCCACAAATGATCTGTAGTAAGTCTGAGGAACATCTACTATAATCTCCTGTGGAAAAAAGGTCACTGACTTTTTGAAGTAAAGTGTCATAACTAAGCGATACACTATTTCTTGCCCATTGTAAGAGTTCTTGAAGGGTTCCTTGCAAAGCGTCCCTTTGTTTGAGCACACACATGGTCAAGGCTGCGAAAGCCTTATCAGCATGCACGAGATGACGAGGAGACTCAAATGCTTTAACTTCTTCATTCATTTCAATATCTGTGTAACCCGGTGAATAATTATATAATTTTTGGGTTTCTGAATACCTGATTTCATTCCAGTCACTTTTACCTAAATGCTGATAATCACATAACAATTTTATATAATTTTCTGGAGCCTTTGGCATAGAAGGCTCTTTTAGCTTAGTTTGGAGAGATAAGGTAAATTCTTGATCACCACTTGCACTGAAACTACTAGGTTCAACATCAAGCATTTGTTCGTAACTATTTTCGTTAATATTAGACATTAGAGAGATGGCATCATAATCCAAATTAGTACTCACGCGTTGACCGCTATCCTGGCTAGCGATTCGCCGATGAAGGTTTCGTACTTCTTTAGTGAGTTTCCGAAATTTACGTTTGGAGAGCCGCTTACGCTTGCCCCACCTTTTCTTGTTGCGGCGACTTATCTTTGGGCTGCCTCCGCTAGTCGAGGAACTGCTTTCAAAACTTGAACAACTTGAACTCGAGCTGCTAGAACTCCTCGACCGAACTCGCCGCTTCCGCGGTGAAGAACGTACTTGAGGAACCGCACTAGCCACTCTATCAGCATCATTATCCAAATTTTCCATATTTAAAATTATTAAGATCGAAAGATTAAACTTTGATATAAATTTAATATAAATTTTATTTAAATTCAAATAAAACCGTTAGGAATATTTATAAAAAAAAATTAGATATGCTAAGACGTGTCGTCACGAGACGACCGATCACGGCGGGAAAAGAGACGCCAATGAATTCAAAATGGCGAGGCTCGCTTTACGAGCCTCCCTACCACTGCCAAGCGGAAGTGAGGTTTTAGAAAGAGATGGATATATATAGAAATGTGAAGGCGGGAAACGTAGTGCCTATCTCAATTAAATAAGCTTCGAATAACGGTCAAGTCAAATTAATATATTATAACACTAGCTCTTCCCCGCGGCGTCGCTCCCGTCATTTGAGTACCTACCCAACTCTACCTACCCTATCTACCCTACCTGCTCTACCTACCCTACTCTACCTGCCCTACCTACCCTACTCTACCTGCTCTACCTACCCTACCTGCTCTACCTAACCTACTCTACCTCACCTACTCTACCAACTCTATCCAATCCTATGTCCTTCTCCTGACTCTAAACTACCTCCCTGCCAATTTTCAGCTAAATCGGTTCAGCCGTTCTTCAGTTATAAGTGGTGTAACTAACACGACTTTCTTTTATATATGTAGATTAAAGAATTAAATAAAAGTAAACAGATAAAACAGATAAATACCCTAATATAAACGTAACGAGTCTCAATTAGGCTCCGTCCCTATCCGATATTGTCCGAAACTTCCATTTTGGATTCGGTTAGGTTAGGGATATTTTTTTATATCAATATCCGTTATATCCGTATAGTTTCGGTTACGGTTACAGAGCTTCTTTCAAGGCTGCGTTTCCACCAGAGATGTTGAGTATTAACTAACCTGGTTTATTAAATTAACCTGGTTTTGAGTATTAACTAACTTATACCCGTGACTTCATGCCATATAAAAATAAATGTGCCTTGGTGGACCGTCAGTTTAGGTATGGGAGAGCCAAGCTTCGCCACAAAAGGGTCGGCTCGACCGGAGTGATATTACGGCCTCACAGAAAACCGGCGTGAAACAACCACATCGTTGTTTCGCCGTTTGAGTGACGTTACCGGAGGTTTCTCCTCTCCCATCTTTCCCAACTCCCCAAAAGGTCAGAAACACACTAACTCTTCTGTTGTTGCGGGTGTCCATAGGCGGCGCTAATTGCTTACCATCAGGTAATACGTCAACTCGTTTGTCGTTCTATCACATAAAAAAATGCAGTAAAAATAATAAAATATAACAATGCTATTATAATACCTAATACGAATAAAAATAATGTTTTGCTAATAATGTAAATATTTACTGGCATTGAATGGTACTAGCTGCAAGCCACTGACATTGTAACACCTGTCAAAACAAACAAACAAACAACAATTTTTATATGAGTAGAAACTCATTAGTTTTTTTTTATTACTACTTACGAGGCACCGCGCGACCGCGTTTGAACTTTACATACTTATAATATTTACGTAAAATTTTAATATAGTTTAAAATTAATAAAAAAATTGATATACTTATTATTACTAATGAAATATCGCGAGACAGTAAGAATATAATTATATTCTCGATTCCCATGCCGCGATCTTCAAGAGACATGTTGTCACTTATTTCATTCAGTAGCTAATTATTGTAAAACTAGATACTCTCACGCGGTTTCACCCGCTGCTCAGCTCCATTTGATCGTAGCGTGATGTTTTACAGCGTATAGCACTCAGGAACAAAAAAAAATATGTTTTGTATTGTAGGTCTCTTAGCGTCAACGAAAACTCCCAAGCCGCCAAACATAGAAGTTCATGGCATCGCATCGCAAGAGAGGCGGTGGCGCAAGACTCGACCGACACATGACCACGACCACACTGTCAAGAGTGCACGACTAAGAAGATTGTAGCTCTAGCTAATGAGACATGTTAAAACAGTTCGTCTGTGCTACATAACATGTCTATGAGCCCCAAACGTAGCTTGAAATAAGTCAAGCCACATCGACGAAAATTTACGTAATTAATTCATCATACCACAAATGAACGCCGGCTTTCACGCACCTATTGTCTCGAATGACCACGATTGAAAGGTTAAATCGAAAAATATAGTTTTCATACCTTTGGCCAACTCGGCGACTCCCATAAGTGCTTTACTCTGTGCAACACTCTCCAGGATATGTTCTTCTTCTCTTGCCTGCCTCTCTGCTGCAGACAGGGCCCTCGCTTCAGCTAGCCTCTTCAGTTCTGAATGCTGGTCTAACAGTGAGACATTGTACCGACGTCCCCATTCTTCTTGAGATGCTGTAAGGATTAAGATGTTCTTTATTAAGTTTAGTAGGGAAGAATAGAATATGACGAAAACATAGAGGTTTTTTAAAGTGTAACGATGTGCCATGTAATGGGAAAATCAGCTAAAAACTCAATAAAACAAATTATATTCAATCAAGTAGGGCCTTGATTGAACATTCATTCATCATCATCAGCATATAAGTGCCCACTGTTGAGCAAAGGCCTCTTCTCACATGGAGAAGGTTAGAGCATTAATCACTACGCCTGCTCAATGCGGGTTGGCGATTTCAAACTTATAATTAGTAATTAAAAGTCCAGGTTTCCTCACGATGTTTTCCTCCATCAGTCAGTGGTGTCTGAATAATTATAGAAAGTAGATACAATTCGGAAAAATTCACATTGGTACTATTAACCTGCACACTCATTCTTCTTTTAAATATACCTACATGAAAAGAGTATATTCCTGGTCGGTAACGCTCTAACGTTGGTGATGCAGCATTGAAAGCTTACAACCAAAAAGATTATAAAGGTCTGTGTGCATTTTGGGCATCATACAAATTACAGGCTTCTTTTGCTTTACTTACTCTCATCGTCTGGATCATTGTCGCTGGAGCTCTTAGGCTCAGCAGCAGCCTCTGCAGCAAGCTGTCCGAGTCTCCCGAGCTTCATTAACTGTTGTTTTTTTCTTTCCTTAACAGGAACATAAGGTTCATAGTTATCCAAGTCTTCTTCCGATTCCGAAGATTTCTCCTCACGCCTGTATCGTTTAATTGGTGGCGGGTCATCCTTTTTCTCCTCTTCCATCGTCAGTTTTTATTCAGATAATGTATTATTTTGCTTAAATAGCGTTTTTCGAAACTCGACACAAGTTTTGTAAATAACAACGACAGATGATAAAATTTTGACATGTGACGTTTGGTGTTAGTGTTTTTCGTTTCACGATATCAACAAATATATTTTTTTGTGCTATTACGCGTTCGAAGATAATTAAAGTAACTGTATTTATTTAAAAGGTGTATTTAATGCTTATTTAGTAAAACTAATCACAAACAAGACATCGGCATTCTAATGAAATGTGTTAATCTTTGCGGTAAGTAGAAAACATAGTTTTTTAAGTTTCAAAACACACATTCACACACAATCACACGTTAAATAAACAAAACAGAGCAATTTTCATTAAAAACCAATCTAAAATAAAAGCCAATCTAAAATAAAACTTTTTTTACAATTCCACTAAAAATGCAACTTGAATGCAAATTATTTACATTTTACACATTTTTTGTCAGTCAAATAATCAAAGGACACCAACCAGCTTGTTGTCAATAACTTGTCATCTGTCAAGTTGTCAAAATATGCAAGTGACACGTAACTCTATGTAATTTAATTACCTATTTATGACCTCCAAATGTGTGAAAACGTGAAAATTTTCTCATCAACCGGTCAATAAAATAGTTAACAACATGTCAGATAAAAGTTTCGGCGACTGCCCGAACAGGAACATTGTTAAAAACCCGCTCTTGTCCACCGCCGTCACGGGACTCTCAATTGAAGACTTGACGCATAACGCAGTTTTAATTCCCGTTGCGGCTACCCAGGGACTGATCACGAGATCAGGTGAGTACTATTATTTATTTTTATCCTATGTGTACGCTACAAGCACGTTTTTCGTGACGTTGAGCGTCGAAACAAGCCAAAATAACTGACATAGTTTTTCGTGATTCCAATGTCACTATTCGCGATTTTCACGCTAATTCTTGGCTATTAAACGGTTTTCAGTACTTGTTATAGTGTTAAATGGTACGCGAGTGTAATCTATTTAGTAAATAAACTGTGTTTATTACGTGTGAAAGTGTTTATTTGTGTTTATATCAGGTCCAGTGATAGCAATGTCATTCTTATACAAATCATACAAGAATGCTCCCTTTGAGTATGGTTTCACGCCAGAATTAAGATTCTCCTTTCGTTCTAAATTCAAAAGGATGGAGAAGTACTTTTATGATGCCACACTTGTGAGTAAATAAATATAACAAAATTGTCTTTGGTTTAACCCACCAAACAGTTTTGATAACCAGCTAAATATTTATGGTTTGGTTGTGTTTTTTCCTGCTATTATCCATTTTATACATGGTTGTATGCTAAGGGCGTAGCAGAGCTTATTTGTACCTATTAGGTTCATTTCAATATTAATTTAAACTAGCAAACTTATTTTGTAGTCTTAGTTCCGAGTTAAGGTATGGCAAAGTTTTCTATTTGATAATATATTTGCTTTCAATGAATGATATACCCTTATGTAGACTTAATTAAAAGATAAAATTTCTTATTTTCTACAATTTCACTATTAAATATGTAAATCAAGTTTTTTCTAACTCTATATAAATAATTATTATACTAAATTTTGTGTCCATGTAAGATAAATGACAACTTCCTTACCTCCTCACTAGATATATAATATTATTAATGCGAATGTGTAAGTTTGTTTTTCTTTCATATTGAAATAAAGCAATTTTATTATATTCTTGTGCCTTGTGACTGATAATAAGGACAGATTTTACATAATCAAGTAATTGTTGTTATTGTGAGGCAGTGGTTGTTGAGTTCTTTTATTCTTGCATCTGTTGCACTGCTCCAACTTTTGGGTGGACAACAGCAGGATTTTCAAATTGAGAGCTATAACTTACATCATATAATTGACTAGCTACTCTCGCGCGGTTTCACCCGCTGCCCGGCTCTATTTAATCGTAGCGTGATGTTTAATAGCCTGTAGCACTCAGGAACATTGTAGCTATCTATAAGCGAAATAAATTAGGAAATCCGACCAGCGGTTCCAAAGATTACTCCCTACATACAAACTTACAAATTTTATCTCTTTATAATATTAGTATAGATGGGTGCATATTTATTTTTAATTGGCACTGGGTAAGTGTACTAAGTTCAAACCTTGTTCTTTGTGAGAATGATACCAGAAATATGTGCAATTATTAGACTGCACTACTGCAATAAAAAAAATAGTGTAGTCATTATGCTCATCATAATAACATAGCCTTCCCCCAATGGCCTTCAGATAGGCCAAAAGCTTTAGTTCTTTTTAAAAAGTTGCTCTACACTAGAATGTCTCCTCCGTCGTGGGAGCGGTTACAAACATACAATTTTACAAACAAATCACACCCAGACCTGGAACAACAATTTTTGGATCACACAAAGAGTTGTGCCGTGCGGGAATCGAACCCCCGACACGTTGCACGGCAGCCAGTTGCCCAGCCACCACACCAACCGTGCCGTTAAAGTAAGCCAAGTTTATTTTGTGAATGTTAAAAATTATAAAAGGAGGCTGTAGTGTATAGGTTCGACAGCGACCTCTCGCGTCTGGCCTTAGTTCAAGTCATGCCATAGCGCGAGACTAGGACTAGGAATCCGCCACCTCCGTTTGAAACAGTCATCTTGGCTAAGGTAGAGGTGAAACGCGTGATGACACGATCCTTGCATCGAGACGGACTCTCGAGACGATCTCCGGGAGCTTAGTGTGGGAGAGCCAAGCTTCGGCACGAATGGGTCGGCTCAACCGGAGTGATACCACGGCCTCTCAGAAAACCGGCGTGAAACAACCACAGCGTTGTATTTCGCCGTGTGATTGAGGTTACCGGAGGCCATTGGGCCTCCGAGGAGGATCCGAGGAGGGATTGACCCTCCTCAATCCCTAACTCTCCAAACCACTAAGTCCTGAAAGGACGGCAGCGCACTCGTAGCTCCTCCGTTGCGGGTGTCCATGGGCGGCGCTGATTGCTTACCATCAGGTAATCCGTCTGCTCGTTTGCCGACCTATTACATAAAAAAAAAACTTAGCATTATTCATGCAAGCCTCAAAGAGATATAAGACCACCACAGACGGGGTCCAATTGGCGCAAAGTCCAGGTGGTTTTGTGGGTGCAATCATCATGATGTACCGCGCCCTGGTTCGCAGCAGGGGAAGGAATGTGGTAGGTTTTAGTCAGGAAGAGACTGATATTCTCTCTCGAACCGGGAGAAGCTAAATTATTGGATGATTTTTCCAACTGTGTTCCAAGTGCATAGATTACTTTGTGCTTTTAAGCTGCAGATATTCGGGATGATATTGGATGAGTAACTGTTATATCTTTAATATTGATTTTGTCATCATCATCGTCCAATAAGTGGCCTCTTCTCATATGGGGAAGGTTTGAGCTTGCTCAAGGCCGATTGGCGATTTCAAACTTACAATTACGAATTGAAGTCCAGGTTTCCTCATGATGCGGCCTCGGTCTAAAGCAGGAAAAGGAACGGGTTTTTTTTTTAGTCCGTAAGAGTCTGACACTCCCTCTAACCCTTATCCTGGGTGGGAGAAGTCAGATTTTCCCCTTACAAAAAAAGGTTTCCTCACGATGTTTTCTTTCACTGTTGATTTTTGATTGATTGTGTTATGTGTGATAAAAATATTACCTACCTACCTACCTACGCGGTCTAAAAATTAGCACTTTGAAGACAAGAGATGAGGTCATGGTTTTGTCTGACGTTATGACCAATTTATCGTACTTTACCTAGCTGGCTAGCTTTAGCCTGAGATTTGGTTTGCGCATACAATTGTTGCTATCATATTCCCAGTGCCGGTGTAAAGGCCACTGACACTCTGGGCAAATATTGTGGCGCCAACTTGAGGGAAGCTATATCAAGTGTTAGAATTTTGCTGACCACAAGTAAAATAAAAAACAAATGAATAAAAAATATGCATATGTACAGAGCGTAGAGTACAGTTCTGAGGGTTTGCACCAGGAGAGGCAAGAGACTCTAACTTCAGACCTTGGCTCCCCATAGAATTTGTCGCCATGAGCCACCGCCCCATTACGCCCCCCCCCCCCCCCCTTAACGCCGGCACTGCATATTCCTATGGGACTTTTTAAAATTTTATTTGTTACCCCACACCTGTGCCGGTTGCGTTTACGAACATACAACACGCACAGATCGGGAACAATTTGTAAATCATACAGAGTCGTTCCATCCGAGATTCTAATCCGTGATACTTAGGTACGGTAGCCAGTTGCCCAGCCATCGCGTCAACTGTGCACACTTCTTTTTGTGAGGGTAAAATCATTAATTTACTTCTTGTTATCAGGGTTCGCCGTGACGGAGTGTCAGAATCTTACTGACTAAAAACACCCCGTTCCTTCGTCGCGGTGTCTTTCTTGCGTTATTCCCGCAACCCCGGCTGAACGCCAGCCCTATAGGGCCCCGTCTGTGGTGGTCTATTGGCAGTCAGAGTTACTGGCGCGTCATTGTTCGAATGCTTGCGTTGCCTCTTCGGTCCTCGTAATTGTCGTCTTGTCTCTCTTCTTGATCTGGCGTAGGTATGCATCTAGTGGTGCTTGTTTTGATGCGGTATTGCCATGTGATCGTGATAGAAGATGATCATGCTGAGGAATCTTCAATCCGCGAAACTTTTTCAATGTTAGCCCGTAGCTCCTCATGCCGCAGCAGGCGCCACTCCGGGCGTCGGGGATCGAGAGACGATCTCTGGCCACCATAAGCGCGGGTCTGCGGACGACTAATAAGGGAAGCTCGCCGCCCGACCAGAACCAGGCCCGAGCGTACGGCGCGTAGCGTTCCGCGCGCGCCTCAAAGAGCCAATGGACCACCACAGACGTTGTCCTATAGGGCTGATGTTCAGCCGGGGTTGCGGGGTAAGTGCAATGAAGCACCGCGACCTCGGCCTAGAGCAGGAGAAGGAACGGGGGGTTTTTACTCAGTAAGAGTCTGACAGTAGGTGGGAGAAGTCCTTTGATGATTTTCCCCTCACAAAAACAAACCAGCCACTGCCTAACAGCAGCAAATCTAATCTTATGCTAGAGTTAAAGAGGAATCGTCAATAAAATTTGCAATATTCGAATTTTATTAGAAAACCTAAATCCAATCTGCTATAGTAAGTAATATTTTACAGTCGCATGAAACAATAAAAATACGAAACTTTTCATTACAAACATTTATTACATAAATTGTTTCTTTTTACATTACAAAATATGGCTTTCTCTTTTCTCTTTTTAATAAACTATTTTACTTATTATTATTATTATTTAAACATATACTACCCGTTTTATTATTAAGGGAATACTTTTTTTTTATTACTTATTTTGTAGAATAAAAATATTTAAAATGCATAAGGAATAGGTTATGTTGATGATGGTTGCCCTTATTGATTGTAGTGTGATGTGTTTATAGCCTCGATATATGGACTATCTCAACACAGAAACAGTTGTTTAATTCGAACCAGTTGTTCCGTAGATACGCGTGCCCAAACTTACAAATTATTGAATATTATAAACGCGTAAGTTTGTAAGTATGGATGGATGTTTGTTACTCTTTTACGTAAAAGCGAATGAACGGATCTGAATATAATTTGGCACAGAGATAGATTATAGTCTGGAATAACACATAGGTTATTTTGTACGTTGATACCTCTGCCGAAACAGCTGGCTGAAACTAGTATTAATGTACATAAATATACAAATATAAAAAAAAAGGTTTTAATGTGGCTTTTTGCATTTTGAATATTTTTATCCTCCAATTTTATGTTAGTTATTTAAAAACTTAAACTAAATAGATAATAAATAGAAAAATATATATTAAATAGTTTTTGTCAAAGCAAGGAAAAATTTTATTTATTTAAACGCTTATTTTTTAATGATTAGATAAAAGTTACCTGGGGCATAATAATGATGCTGTCTCGTCAGAATGTTTGTATAAGACAGTGACAGCAACAATTTTATTTCTCAGATAACATTTATCTGACTATTGAAAAATCAGCCCTAAGAGTATATAAAAAAGTTTTCATATTATTTTTTTAATTTATAAAATTATAAATTTATTATTTATTTATGGATAAAAAAAGAACAAAAATAGATGTTCTTCTTTTTTCTAACTGGCTGATTAAAATGATAAAATGGTTTTAAAATTTTTCATTTCTAAAAAAAAAATGCTTAGATTATTGACATTTCTCACATAAATATTTCCCGCTAAAAAGTTAATATTAAATTATATCTTTAATGATAATAAAAACAAAAATGGCGTTTATTATAGTTTTTTAGAATTAAATTAAATTATAAAAAAACTGGTTCTTTATGCTTATAAGCTAATTTAAGTACTTTTTCAGTGCCTATACTTTGATACTTACATAAACATTTTTTTTACTGTATTAGGTACGTATTTTTAAACGACAAGCAAAAGTTTATAAAATATTAAATCGTTTTCATGACTTTATGTTTTCCGAGGTTGTATTGATTCTATTAGCCGGAGCAACCTAATCAAAAAATCATCGTAATCTGTGCAGACATTCTGTAGTTATACGCGTACAGATTCACAGTCAATTTATTCAATTGATTTTTATGTTCGTTAACGAAGGGTCCTATCAAATAGAGAGCGTCCATCCGTTTTAAAATTGATACTTTGCCCCTCCTCATACATTAATGTACAATCGACAAATTGAAATTGTGACCAACCATAAGCGTGTCTTCTAAAAGTCAAATACAATTATTATTTGAATGATTTGAAACGCATAATGTCATACTGTGTGGAACATAGACGACATTTTTTTTCAATCTTTATTTAAAAGAAGAAGAAGTAAAGAAGCTTAAATATTTTTTTGTTTTATGTGTGTGCGCTGGCGCAGAAATTAATGTTTTTCTTTCTTTCGTTCAAACGTGTTTTACGTATTAATATGGTTCATGTTTCAATTTGGTTGATTTAATTATTTGCTAATCTCCGTCCGTATGATGGTTTATATGCTACACAATGAGCTATGTAATTATGTAAAAAAACATAGTAGGTATCGCTCTGTAGCTTCTGCATTCTACTGGATAGCGTGTGTTGTACGCTAACTCCAAAACTGCTTGACAGATTTAGATAGATTTTTCAATTATGTTAGGTACAACGATATTATAAGTAAAAAGGTGTAGATAGGTTACAAGCGCTCAGCAAGTGACACATTAAAATGTGGCTAACTAGCCACACTTTTTCATATTTGTCTCTTTTTCACTTGCGATTTTTGAATCATGCCATTTTACTATGACGTTAGACGTCATACGAATTGTTAATGTGCGTATCAGTGTGTCGTTTTGAAATCGAATTTTGTTTAGGTAACCTATACATATACACCATTTTACTTATAATATAATTGGTTAGGTACATTATTTTGGAAATGGTGTCTCAAATGCTGTTCTTCGAGTTTAAACTCGTTTTTGTAAATAAATTTAAATAAACCAGTTTTTTTTCGTCTAAAACATAAGTTATGTATAACTTAACTTAAACTAAGGGTAACTTAAATATTAAATCACTTCAACATATATCATCACATCGTATTAACATTTTTGCTTTTAAGTACATGAGCCTTTTACGAAATCCTCCTTCGAAAAACCTCTTTATAGTCCTAGCGATCCACCCCGCCTTCGCACGGGTACAATGCTGGAACTAAATTTCTCCACTATTTAATGGATGTTATTATACATAGAAACCTTCCTCTTCGATCACTCTATCTATTAAAAAACCGCACCAAAATCCGTTGCGTGGTTTTAAAGATTTAAGCGTACATAGGGATATAGGGACAGAGAAAGCGACTTTGTTTTTTATACATCTCTAGTGATTTTGACGAAACAGGCAATACTAATATTTTAAAGAGGTAAAGTTTTTGTAAGTTTGTGGTTAGGGAGTAATCTTTGGAACCGCTGGTCGGATTGCCAAAATTCTTTCACTGATATATAGCTACAATGTTCTTGAGTGCTATTAGGCTATAAATTATACTTGATTAGTGTATTTTAGTAGAGCTATCGCTTAAAACGCTGCTGTTTTAAAAAAACCCGGGATACATCTATATGTATAAATAAAAATCAATGCCGCTTTTCGTTGTAATGTTATAATATATGACTCAACAATGCCTTAACCGATATGGCTAATTTTGGTCTTGAATTATTCGTGGAAGTCCAGAAAAGGTTTGGACGTAGAGAAAATTTGACATACACGCGGGCGGAGCCGCGGGCGACCGCTAGTTACTTTTATTCGCATGCAAAGCCGAGGGCGAAAGCTAGTTATTATAAAGTTGGTTTGGTTGAAAGAGGATCAAATGAGGGTGTTTTTAATGGCAATGTTTTCTTAATTTCTCGATGTATTGTAAGAGGGTAGTTCTCTCGATGCTTTCCGTTTCCTCACACACCATATTATGAGGAAGACCAGGAGGACTATCAGCGCTATAGCCAGTAGTACTCCAAGGACGATAGCCGCTATCGCTGCTCCTGTGAGGTGATCTGAAAGAGGAAGAAGGAAGAATTGTTTTTTATTTGCTTCATCAACAATATTTTTTTGTTTTTTTTTTTATAAAACGTTGCCCCACATTGGGATTATCTCCTGTGTCGTGGATGCGGTAACAAACATACAATTTCACATACACATCACACCCAAACTCGAAACAAAATTTGTGGATCACACAAAGAGTTCCGTGCGGTAATCTAACCCGCGACTCGTTGCTCGGCAGCCAGTGGCCCAGCCACCACGCCAACCGACCGTGCAGTCTTACTACGATGTTCCTAAATGCTGATTTGCGTATCTTAGTTGAGCTATCGCTTTAAACGCTGCTGTATTTAAAATCCTTGGAAACATTATATAAGTACGCGTTTGAAGCTGCAGGAGGATGCTGGTACAAAATAAATAAAAAAAGTATCAGTTTTGACATTTCAGTAAAAGTATTTAATTTGACTAGTTGGAAGCTATCGTATTGTTTTGGGAACTAAATCCTTCATCCTTGTTAGAAATCCTGACTGACAAACTCAGAAACACCGAGTCACGTCATGTCCTAGGCATGTAGATGAGAACTAGACCTATACCTAAGCATACCTAGATCTAAACTTTGTCCTAAATCAATACTGGTGCAGTTTAGACGCATGCGGGTTGGTGTTTGAAGTAGGAGGGGGAGGGAAGGGGAGGTTAAAGGTCATTGCCGAACCTACAGAGAGGTGTATGAGTTGAATTGCAAAAATAATAACAATAGGATCTTATTTGACTACTTGAACAACCTTTTTGTCGAATTTTGCCATGAGATCGTGTGGTGACGACCATGTTTTTTCGCATCGAATATTATACTCTTTTTTGGGCAATCAGCTAGAAAAATATGAAATTTGAGTAGTTTAAAGTAAGAGTTTCAGCGCTGCCCATGGACACAGGCAACAGAGGAGTTACGAGTGCGTTACCGACTTTTTGAGGATAAGGGTTGTGTTGTGTTTCGCCATGTGAGTGAGGTTACCGGAGGCCCAATCCTTCCCCTCCCCCAATCCCTCCTCAATCCCTAAATCGCCAAATCCCTAATCCCTAAAAGGTCGGCAACGCACTCGTAACTCCTCCGTTGCGAGTGTCCATGGGCGGCGCTGATTGCTTACCATTAGATAATCCGTCTGCTCGTTTTGCCGACGATTACATAAAAAAAGGGATTTTGTTGTTTAGGGATTGGGGTAGAGGAAGGATTGAGCCGGTAACCTCACTCACATGGCGAAACACAACGCTGTGGTTGTTTCACGCGGGTTTTCTGTGAGGCCGTGTCGAACCGACCCATTCGTGTCATGGCTCTGCCACACTTAAAGTACTTAAATTAGTTATAATACTTACTGGAACTGTCAATGATATAGCTGTTTGTGTTCCCATAAGCGTCGACAGCGTTCAGCAACACTCGTGGTGCACAACAGGTTGCCCTGTAAGTAGCCGTCACCTCCTGTCGTGTTCCCGAGATGAAATCACTCGTGTACATGACTCCAACCGGTGATGATGTTAGCCGAAGTAGACCTGGTGGTTGAATAGTCGATTATTTTGCTGTAGTTTCTTTATGTTAGGTTTTTTTTCGTTTCGTATGAATATTCTCTCTTAGTTCTACGCATGTACAAAGATCATAGTGACAAAATGAAGCCCCGTGAAATTCAGTCATTTATTTCATTTAAACCCAGGCCCTTTTGAACGTTAAATCCGTAATACACCTGATCCCTTCTTGAACTCCAAAAAATAGACTACTTGAGCAGATTTCTCTCGCCCTGGGCCGGCAAGAGGAAGTGTAAGACTCTTACTGATTAGAAACCACCCCGTCTCTAATCTTGCTCAAGGCTAAGGCCACAGAACCTTATTACGCTGACCCCCAACCTCGGCCAGACCCAAAAGCTAGGTTACAATAGTTATACTATAGCTATTTCAAGAAAAGTCGGAGTCCACATTTTTTCTTCAAAATATTTGTCTCTCTCTTGTGTCTAGAGAATTTGAATTCCTACTATCAGACTCTTATTAAAGCCTAAAAACCTAAACCATCTCCAATCCTGAACCTTTTTTAAATGGGACAAGCCCGCCACGAGTTCCTAAAACCACATCAAGTCCTGTGCGCTAGGATTCACAGTAGATACAACCATGAAAACACCGGAACACTGAAGTCCGGTGCGTCCCAGGGACATGTATGACTGTCTTGGATCCCGCAACGAAATGAATGAGAAGATTATTTGAGGAGAAGAAAATCTGGAACCTGGCCAAAAATTCCACTAGCACTCCAAAACCCACCTGATTGGCCATCCCTGGTGATAACAGTAGTAGACCAGGCATGTTGAGCGCAGTCGTCACCAGTCCTACCAAGACATGTTCCTTGGAAGGTATGCCGTATCTCCGGAGCAAATGTGTCAACGGGTTCTGCTGAATTGGCGACGTATACGTACGCTGATAGGGATATTTGGTCTCCTCCCGTGGTTCCTGGTGGAAATAAAAGATTTTGGTTAGTAGCCTCCTTGGTGGTCACAGCTTGAGGTCTTGTTTTAATTATAGGGGTCGGATACAACTCAATTAGCTTACACTGTATAACATAAGACTTAACCTTCCAATCGTGGTAATTCGAGACATAATAGAAGGACAAAAGGTGCGCGAAAGCCGGCTTTCGCTTGGGTTTTGATGAATTAATTCGTAACTGGTGAAGAATAGGTCTGAGTAAGGAATAAAGAAAGAAGGGAATCCTTTCTCATAGCTACACGAAACTTAAGCGGTTGGGCGTTCTAGCTCTGATTTATTGAATTATATCATTGAAGTTCGTCCTCCAGTCCAGAGATGTCGCTACTGTGCTAAAGTACTAAGGGCCTAATAAAACCACCTTTAATCACCCGATAAAGTTATGAGTTCATACAAATTCACGTTCTTTATTGAAATTTAAAATGATTCTCAATGTAACATTTTATTTGAATGTCTCTTTTATTTCTTCTTTGTTAAGAAGACTCCAATTAAATTATGATGTGCTTACCATAAGCTGTGAAAGTGATGGTATCCCTCAACCCTGGTTGTGCTGTCGGTGATATTATCAAGCTGACTATCACGTTGGCTGTCTGCCCAGGAGTGATGGTTTGGCTGGAAGAAAAATAAACTTCTCATAAGAAAAAGAAACTCCTGACTATTTATTATAAAGAGTGTCGCTAGCGTGGTATGCTATCAGAAATTGACAATATTTTTCAATATTTTGGTGGAAAGTGTGCCATTTGCCAGGGATGGCAGGTTTAAATACGTTTTTCAACATCCTCCAGTCTTCAGCTTTTGTTTTGTGGAGTGATAATCATCAAATGGCTTCTCTCGTCCAGGGTATGTCAAGAGGGAGTGTCAGACTCTTACTGACTAATAGCCACTCCGTTGCTTCTCCTGCACCAGCCGTACCTTATTAAGCTTGACTCACGGCCCCAGCTAGTATTCTCTTAAAAAAAAACGTTGCCCTACACTAGGATTTTCTCCTGTCGTGGGTGTGTTTACAAACATTCAATTTCACATACACATCACTACCAGACCCGGAACAACAATTCGTGGATAACACAAAGAGTTGTTCCGTGCGGGAATCGAACCTCCGACACGCTGCGCGGCAGCCAGTTGCCACCGCGCCAACCGTGCAGCCAATAAGCTATTAGTAAACTCGAAGTCTGTTGATAATGAGGCTATCCTGGCTATACAGTAGCAGCGCGACAGTCGCTGCGTCGCGTGTCGCGGAATGCTGCTCATGAATATGGGCCTCTAGCACGGCTTGAAACTGAATGACGATCCGACTAATCAAAAAATACGTACCTAGTAGGGTTGATTCCAGTCAAGAACCTCAGTTCTCCTGTGGCTCCGAAATTGAATCTCATTGATTGTTCTCTGTAATTTGTTACTTCAAAGTGTAGCTGAAATAAATGAAGTATGTAATGATAAAGATGAAAAGACAGACATTTATTTGCGTAACATATGGTTGAAGTTACAATAGACCATCTTATTTGGCTATCACTACATAGTATAAAACAAAGTCGCTTTCTCTATCCCTATATCCTTATGTATGCGCAAATCTTTTAAACCACGCAACAGATTTTGATGCTGTTCTTTTAATAGATAGAGTGATTGAAGAGGAAGGTTTTTATGTATAATAACATCCATTAAATAGTGCAGAAATTTAGTATCAGAATTGCACTCGTGCGAAAACAATCCCTATTTGTTACTGATATTTATAACTCCACAAGTAGCTTCTGTATGTTAAGGATTGTATAAGGTGACGCTCTGTAGTTTTTGTCTTCTGAAGGAGAAAAGCGTCGTGAGTTTATGTCGGTAGAGGTCTTTTAACACGACTCAATTTATCATCTGTTTCTATGCAACATTTTATCTATCTCTGCCAAGCAGTTTTCGCGTTAGAGAGTTACAGACATACATACATCCTCTAGAAACTTAGTATTAACAATGATAGTCAGAGTAATTTTCATCGGTCTCTGATAAACCTGAACTTTTTAAATGGCGATTTCGATTATGGTAAATCCCTCTTATTTAGGAGGCCATCCGAACTGGTGATGTGAAAGCAATCTTACCTGTAAACTTTCTCCTGGAGCTCCATACAACCTGCTGGCCAAACCAATTTGAATAGCAGTTAGCACTATTCCTTGTTGGTTAACGACCTGGAATGAAAAGGATAGGAAATTAGAAAATTTTTGCTCATGACGATACCTAAGTCCGTGTGTCGCCTGGACAGTCACCGCTACCATCAGTTGACTGGACAATCTCTTTACATGAGCTGCTGTTTACATGTAAACATTAGCTCATGACGAAACCTAAGTACGTGTGTCGCCTGGACAGTCACCGCTACCATCAGTTGACTGGACAATCTCTTTACATGAGCTGCTGTTTACATGTGAACATTAGCTCATGACGATACCTAAGTACGTGTGTCGCCTGGACAGTCACCGCTACCATCAGTTGACTGGACAATCTCTTTACATGAGCTGCTGTTTACATGTGAACATTAGCTCATGACGATACCTAAGTACGTGTGTCGCCTGGACAGTCACCGCTACCATCAGTTGACTGGACAATCTCTCTACACGAGCTGCTGTTTACATGTGAACAGTAGCTCATGACGATACCTAAGTACGTGTGTCGCCTGGACAGTCACCGCTACCAGCAGTTGACTGGACAATCTCTTTACACGAGCTGTTGTTTACATGTGAACATTAGCTCATGAAGATACCTAAGTACGTGTGTCGCCTGGACAGTCACCGCTACCATCAGTTGACTGGACAATCTCTTTACATGAGCTGCTGTTTATATCAGCCAAAAGTAGAAGTTATTGTTACCTGTGAAATAGCCCTACTGTAGGGCTGAGCATCCTGGTTCTGGTTAAACAGCAGTTGAGCATTATTAGACCTGGAATCGAATTCTTCAAGTTTTTCTAAACCATTTGTTGAGTCAGACATGAACATGGATGCTGAGCGTCCCATGCGTATTTCTGGCTGGTTCAAAGGTCCTGATAGCCTGATGAATGGTTCCCCTGAAACGTATCAAGCCACACATTTTTTTATTTGTAATACTCTGACATTTGTAGCTATTCTAGGTTATAAAATATCTCTGTGCCAATTTTAATCAGAATCCTTCCAGTAATTTTCACTGGAAGGGTGACTTTCCGTCCATTCGTACTTAGAAACATTCGAATTTATAGCAGCATAATCATGATGCTGTACAAATCTCATCGTTGGAATGCAACCTGATCATCCCCCTAACGTTTTTGCTCATTCTGTCCCGATTTGAGTTTAAGGATGATGTACGGTAGAGGAAGGATTTGGTCTCCGTTCACTCTATTCTCACGGTGTAACACAGTACTTAGGTTCTCTCAAGGCTGTTTTCGTGAGGCCTTGGTATCACTGCGGTTAAGTCGACCTATTCGTATCGAAGCATGGCTCTTACACACTTAAGAGTTGCTTGATAGTGAAATAAATTATCAAATAGATCCAATCGTTTCGTAGCCTATTCAGTGCCAGTAGAAGCAAATCTTCCGGTTCAATTTCGATCAGGTCGAACCGTATTGTAAAGTGTTTTGGTCTATTTTTGTAAGAATATAGGACTTACCTCTTAAATCCCTCCCGACGATTTTGGCGTAAACTTTGGATGCCTTCAATGGTGGCAGTGCAACATCAGCTACAAGTTCCACCACGGGATCAATTTCTTCATTCTGGACATCACCAGTTATGGGCTGGTAACTGTTGACAGAAAATCATCATCATCATCATCGTCTTACATGAAGAATATTATGCAAATTCTGTCTTAGTTCTCGTTTACAGAGACGTGGCATATCGCGTCGTGCACTGTTCATTATTTTTGTGAGATAGGGCGGTAAATGCACGTTCGGATTACCTGATGGTAAGCAATTGGCGCCGCCCATGACGGATGATCAACACCAGAAGAGTTATGAGTGCGTTGCTAGCTTTTTGGCGTTTGGGGTTTTGGAGATTTATGGATTTTTTTCATGTCATAAGACAAACTCTTGAAGTTTTAGCGGTACAACTTTTTATAAAGAATTTCTTGATAACAGATTAAAGGGAGTAATGGTTTGGAAAGCGATTTTTGTCACACTTCATACCACACTGAAGAGGTTCCTCTCGCTTCGGGCAACTTATTAAAATTGGAAATTAGTTCATTAGTGAAAAATGTGGATGGATGGAGAGGGAGAGGGAGACCAAAGAAAATATGGATGGATTGTGTGCGAAATGATATGGAAGACAGAGGAGTTAGTGATAGCGGGTGACAGGACAGAAAGGAAGAAAAAAACATATTGCGCCGACCCCAAATAAAACGGGACAAGGGCAGGAAGATGATGGTGAGTTCAAAATTTACCTGAATGGCAGTTTAGCCAGTTCTGTGCTGTACTCGTCGACTATCTGCGACTCCCTGACGCTGGCCACTGGTCCTGTCACGCGGAACTTGAGGGTTTCTGCAAAGAGAATAATAGACCAAGTTGATTAATTGCTGAAAGAAGACTGGTTTATTTTCTACACGGGAATGCCACACGAATGGGCTGTAAGGCGGGAGTAATGATGGGGATTTTTGAGGGGGAAAGTAATCCAATGATTTCTCCCTCCCTAGGTGAGGCGAGAGGGAGTGTCAGACTCTTACTGAATAAAACTACCGCGTTCCTTCTGCTTCGAGCTGGGGTTGCGGTGCATTAGTCCTTGCTGACTCATATAGAAAAGTGCGGATCAGAAACTTGACAAATATCAATGTGACTTTCAAGTTATTTAAATGTATCTTCGACTGCACGGTTGGTGCGGTGGCTGGGCAACTGGCTGCCGTGCAACGTGTCGCGGGTTCGATTCCCGCACGGAACAACACTTTGTGTGATCCACAAATTGTTGTTTCGGGTCTGGGTGTCATGTGTATACGTGACATTGTATGTTTGTAAACACACCCACAACACAGGAGAAAAGCCTAAAGTAGGGCAACGTTTAAAAAAAAAATGCCTGTTTAAAACTTACTGGCAAACGGTGAAGGGAAACATCGTGAGGAAACCTGGACTTATAATTCATTCCGCTTTGAGCAAGCACAGTGACTAATGCTCAAACTTTCTCCATGTGAGAAGTGTCTTTGCTCAGCAGTGGGCACTTATAGGCTGACGGTGGGTGATGTGAACAACAGGTCTTCGTTTGAAGACGATTCTTCTACATTTCAGTTCATATTAATTTTCTTAAGTGTGCATTGTCGATCTAGACTATTTCCTTGTGTGTAACTACTCTGGTCATAGTTCAATTTTAGTATCATTACTGATTCTAGTAAAGACTTCTGACCTCCAAGATTATATTCACATGTTAGCAGATACGACCATATATGTATATCTTTATATATATGTACATAGACTTATTATTTTCTTTATTCCACATATAAACATATAATTTACATCTTTAAATATTTCTTTAAAATTTAAAATAAAAAAAAAACATTTAAAAATATAAAAAATAGTGTCCCACCGGTATCGGGAACAGGGTCCTAGCTACCGGCGGTCAGGGCTCCAGAGAAAGGAACCTCCTGACAATGCGAGCCGTGTCCAGGAGTACCACTTTCTGAATCAAGCCCTTAATCCAGCCACCTAACGAGAGCCTCCTAAGATGTTGGTCGAGGCTCTTGGCTATTAAGCCATTGGCTGACACGACTATCGGTACAATGATAGCTGAATCCACTTCCCAAATGTCGACAACCTCGTGCCAAGTCGATATACTTGATCAGTTTATCTTTCTCGGCTTTCACAAGGTTCTCGTCATTGTACATAGACTTTATTATTATTTACTAACGACCCGCCCCAGCTTTACACGGGTGTAATACTAATACAAAATTTCTGCACTATTTAATGGATGAGTTGTTATAAACATAGTGTGGGAGAGCCATGCTTCGGCACGAATGGGTCAGCTCGACCGGAGCGATACCACGGCCTCACAGAAAACCGGCGTGGAACAACCACAGCTTTGTGTTTCGCCGTGTGATCGAGGTGACCGGAGGCCCAATTCTTCCCCTCCCCAATCTCCCAAATCCCTAATCCCCAAAAGGTCGGCAACGCACTCGTAACTCCTCTGTTGTTGTGGGTGTCCATAGGCGGCGCTCATTGCTTACCATCAGGTAATTGGTTCGCTCGTTTGCCGACCTATAGAAAAAATATATATAAACCTTCCTCTTCAATCACTATCTATTATCAAAACTGCATCAATCCGTTGCGTAGTTTTAAGGATATAGGGTCAGAGAAATCCTGTCCCTATGTCACTATGTGTGCTTCAATGATGCGGTTTTTAATACACAGAGTAATTTAAGAGAAGGGTTTATATGCAAAACTAGCTTCCGCACGCGGCTTCGACCGCGTGGTATGTTGATAAAAAATAGCCTATGTCCTATTCCGGAGTGTATATGTCTATGTCTGTGACAAATTTCATGCAGATCCGTCTAGAAGTTTTGGCGTGATTGAGTAACAAACATCGAAAAATCGTAACTTTCGCATTTGTAATATTAGTAAGTAGTAAGATAATATCCATTAAATAGTTGAGAAAATTAGTATCAACATTGTACTCTTGCAAAGGGGTAAGTCGCTAGTCTATACTAATTTTATAATAAAGAGGTATTTATAAGTTTGTATGTAGGGGGTAATCTTTGGAACCGCTGGTCGGATTGCCAAAATTCTTGCACTGATACATAGCTACAATTGGGTAGTTGCCTAGGTCAAAAATAAATTAATTCGACGTTTTAATACGATAAATTATTGAAAAATAACTATACTTTTATTCATCGATCGATCGATTCACTAAGTTTTAGATTTTTTAGCTAATTTTTTAAAAATAAGTAAGCTATTTTACGCAAAAATGCTATGACGTCATAATTCAATGTTTCATACAATTTTCATAGAAAAGTATCGTTTTTGACATTTGGATAAAAGTATTGAATTTGACTAGTTGGAAACAACCGTATTGTCCTGAGTGCCATAGGCTATAAAACATCACGCTACGATTGAATGGAGCCGAGCAGCGGGTGAAACCGTGCGAGAGTAGCTGGTAAATTAATAAAATGCACGCAGACGAAACCGCGGCGTTAAGCCAGTACCTTCATATCTTTTTTTTTATGTAATAGGTCGGCAAACGAGCGTACGGACTACCTGATGGTAAGCAATCAGCGCTGGACACTCGCAACGGAGGAGTTACGAGTGCGTTGCCGACCTTTTTGGGGATTAGGGATTTGGAAATTTAGGGATTGAGGAGGGATTGGGGGAGGGGAAGGATTAGGCCTCCTATCTTTCTTTCTTTCAGTTAATAGTTGATTTCAAAGTCTATTTCATTATTACGTCAACAATATTAACGGATTACGTGTATCAATTATCGTGAATCAGTTGTTTTTATTTAACGTATCATTAATATAAACGTGACGAGATATGTCAATAAGTCGGTGTTGTTTAGTCAGAGAATAGTCCAAATTCCACATTTTTCTTACCTACGTAAAGACATTGTGACAATTTTATACGTTTATTCAAATACTAGCTACTCTCGCACGGTTTCACTCGCTGCTCGGCTCCATTCAATCGTAGCGTGATGTTTTATAGGAACATTGTAGCTATCTATCAGTGAAAGAATTTCGGCAATAAGACCAGCGGTTCCAAAGATTACCCCCTACATACAAACTTACAAATTTTACCTCTTTATAATATTTATTATTATTATTCAAATATGTTTTTTTGGCTTTCTCAAATACTACTCGTATACTGACTCAATTCCCCTCTATCCGTTTCTTCCTTTCTGGCGATACTAGTCGGGGATAGCGGGACGATCTCCAGCTTTCATGTAAGCGTGGATCCATATGTTGCGTGTCAGGCGTCACGATGTACCGTGCTTGGAGAATGAACCTTTTATTAGTCAGTAAGAGTCTGACACTTCCTCTCGTCAAGAAGAGAAGTTTTTAAATGATATGCCCCCTTCAAAATAACACTAGTTTGGTTTAGATCTAAACTAAAGAAAACCTTGTATTGTATTGTAATATAGCTAAAAGAGTTTCTTTTAAAGACCGATCAAAAAATGGCGAGTAAGGGTTGCTCGTCGCCCGACCAGAACCAGACCCGAGCGTACGGCGCGTAGCGTTCCGCGCGCGCCTCAAAGAGCCAATAGACCACCACAGACGGGGCCCTATAGGGCTTATGTTCAGCCGGGGTTGCGGGGTAATAGAGCACCGGCCTCGGCATAGAGCAGGAGAAGGAACGGGGGTTTTAATCAGTAAGAGTCTGACACTCTCTCTCCACCCAGAGAGAAGTTACAGGATGATTTTCCCCTTACAAAAAAGGGTGTTAATTATCGATTCTACAATATCACCATCACACGACTTCGTGGTTTAGATAAGTTAGTGTTTAATCTTACACATGTATATAAAACGTCATCTTTATTTAAATAGAAAACGTGACGTAGCCAGAGCCATAGGTTATCAACCAGTCTAGTTGTCAATGGATGAGAGATACTCATGTACGTAAACAGACGTGGTTTAATTATATGTCAATGTGTGGGAGAGCCATGCTTCGGCACGAATGGGTCGGCTCGACCGCAGTGATACCATGGCCTCACAGAATACCTGCGTAACAATCGCAGCGTTGTTGTGTTTCGCCGTGTGAGTGAGGTTACCGGAGGCCCAATCCTTCCTCTACCCCAATCCCTAAACAACAAAATCCCTAATCCCCAAAAGTAGGCAACGCACTCGTAACTCCTGTTGCGGATGTCCATGGGCAGCGCTGAAACTCTTACTTAGTCCAGTCAAAATAGACTAAGTTATGATTCCAGTTTGCATTAATTCCCAACAAGCTGGATTTTTGTGCAGGCCTTGAATACGTCATTACAAATGATATGTCAAAAGTCCCCATCGATCCCGCTTGTGCGTTGTTTCTTATTTGAGGTCAAAGGTCACAAATTTGCGTTCGTTGCGTATATCTCTGAAACAACGAGAGCTATCGAAAAATGGTTCAGACAAAGCTTGTAGATCGTAAAATTTTCTACAAAAAATATCTCAACACTTTTCTCCTACAAAGCATCGCTTTCGAGATATATCAGTTATATCCTCATCAATTTCGAAACAATCTTCATCTGTTGTATTTGCTTCAATGTTGGTGCAAGATTGGCCTTGACAATTGGTACTATCAGTGTCATAAGTGCATGGAGGATTCCAAATCAAAATCGTTTGTACGGCGTTTCATCGCCTTAATAATATACCATGGATGACATAGATGGCGCTAGTATACTAGTGGTATTGAAAAATATACATTTATAGTTTTTATCAGATACAAAGTTATTAACTTAATAATTTTTTACACAAATTAATGCTACGATGTTACAAACCTTTTTAAAGCAAAGCACGCATTAACCAGGATTCGAACTCGGTAGCATAAAATTTACCGATGCCACTAGCCATTAGGCCATTGCGTAACCTTGA